TAATAAATAAAACTTCAACTTTCAGAGATATGAAAGATATGTTGAGCTATGTAAAAATAAATTCTGATGTTAAATACAAAAAAATTTACTTCTCCATTTTGTTTATCATTTTTCAAAATTAATACAATGAATATTAGATGTTAATGAAGCTTACAAACTTGATGAGAAATATTAATTTTCGTAACATAACAAAGAGTAAACATCTACTTAATGTTAAACAGTTTTCTTAAGTATTTTAATTAAATGAAAGCAGATCTTTATACGTTGAAAATTGTTTACTTTCGTGCGAATATGTTGATAATGTTACAACGTTTCTAAATTTTCATCTTTACATCAAACACACCTACATTTAATTTCAAATATAAAATCCTTTATGTTGTTTTTTCCAGCTAATTATATTTGCTTGTTTCTATTTTCTAAATCAGTGAAAACTGACAAATTCTCACATAATAAGAAGTTAGTATGGCATCCCTTTAAGAAAACCTTTTCGTAACTAAATTGCGCAATAATGAGTTTAAGATATTAAAGTGAACAGTGCTGGGAATTATTTAAAAGTCTCCTGGTTCAAAATGTTTCACAATGTAAAGCTTGCTAAGGAAGCAAATATGCGAAATAAAAAAATAACGACAAATGTTTCTCAAGAGCTTTCATCTTGCTTGCTCCTGTTCAGAGTTCACATTTAAAAACATTTAATTTCAATTTAATTATGATCATTCTCTCCGGATCTGTTTCACAATGATATTTTATATTTTTGGTTCAAAATTTCACTTGAGAATTGAGAGTGAAAAAGGTTAAGCGAACGTCATTTTTGAAATTAACCCACAGAAATTCCCTTCAGACGAATATTATTTCTTTACATTTCCATCTTAAAATTTAATGGAAGTTTGTGTTCATTTTCATTATACTTTTCACGACAAAAAGTAGAAGAAAACAAAAACAAACGTGATCAGTACCCTGGGTGGAAATATTTATTATTTTGATGCGTGCAAATTACAGTCTCATTGGGAACTTGAGAGGAGAATATTGAAAAATTTATGGTGAATATGAAAATTCAATTATAATGGAGAAGACGTTTTGTGGATCAAAAAAAAAAATGCTGAAAGTACAAAATAAGCAGAGAATTTTTTGTTTTTCAGGGAAAAGTACTTCTTTTGATTGCAGCATTTTGTATTTCCTATTCCGGATATTTATGACCCGATTGTGTCAATAAATTACGTGTTCAGCATACAACATGTGGCAGTGACACCGATCTTAGAGAAGAAATGGGGAAAAATAGTTGAATGCATTCAATGAATGAATAAGATCAAGGGACGCAAATTTATTGTTGACCATTATGGTTTATTCTTTCATTTCGTAAAGTCAACTAAAGCGGTTGACTTGCCGGAAACGTTTTAAATAAATAATTGATGCGAGGCGAAACGTGAAGAAAGAACATTGTAGGGGAAATAAAGATTGTTAAATAATTTAATTTTCTTCTTGCATGGAACTCATAAAAGATTTGATGCAGAAGAAAAAGGAGGAAAGAGTCATCTAAGTGGGAAAAATTACATGAAATTTTATTGTAAAGTTTGAGCCGTTAGGGCTCGTGTTTAGCAAAAGCAAGATTTGCTTTAATATTCAGCTCAGGTCTGTGGCCCCATAAATTATCAGCCTGTTGAAAGAGCGTCTAAAACAAAAAAAAAGTCTCGTTTTTGAAATTTTAATGAACACAACTGTTGGTGACTTGTATGCTTTAAGAATTTGTAGAACAGCTTGGAAAATTGTCATAAATTCTGACAAAATTTTCCATTCAACTTAAGTCATAAATTTCATTTTTTAAAGCTTTTCGCTGAGAGTGAAGAAAATGTTCGACAAAAACAAATCTTTGTGTTGACTGCGAAAAGCTTTTTGGAGGAAAAACATTTCACTGATTTAACTGTCAGTTAGGGATATTTAACGATACTAATGTTCGACGCAACCTGGCATTAGAAAATTTTCCGCTCAACTTAAAGTTTCCGAATGTAAACTTCTTATCATCGCTTCAAAGCTTTTCATTGTTTTAACAGCATAATTTATGTTGAAGACATTAACGCAATTCCTAAGTGGTAATACCAAATGGGTTTTTCCTACCTGACTGAGAATGAAATTTTAATGGAATTTATATTACATTCTTCTCCAGCATTTACATGTTGGAAATGTCTTTTTATCTGATATTTTAATTAAGTGAATATGGCTTTGATGAAAACATTAAAATGTCTTTAGGGAATCATATTTGAGGACTTGTTTACTTAAATTTTATTTAGATATTTTTTGGTATTCTAAGAGATGAATTGGATGGTAGATAAATAGTTTTGAAGATAAGTTCATTTACTTAATCACGTGTTGGTTCAAAATATTTACATGTCATGTTCATTGAAATTCGAATGTTCATTAAATTTTGTTTACCATGACAGGGAATTGTTTAGGTTTACAGAACTTCTGAGGTGATTGTACTGTGATGCATTTCTACTTATAATTAATCATTATTATTCTCTCGCTTTGTTATAATTTGTTTGAAACTGTCATAATTATTGTAACCTAAGTTTTGATTACAATCAAAAATATTTTTTTCGTCGGTTCACAATTAACTCGTTGAGTGGTGAAATTAAAAATAAATTTAACAAGAACACGCCATCGTTTGCTAATTTTGCAATATAGTTAATAATGTTTGTTAGACATGGATTCACTTATGGTTTCGCTTTGATATTCTTGAATTTCTGGATAAGCACGGAAGAAAGCGGTAGATAGAAGACTTGTAATTTCAAGGAAATTTATGAGAATCATTATTCAACTTGATAGCTTCCTGAATTTTTCTACGTCTTAAACTATCTACACGTATGTATGACTTCTGAGTATTAACAACACACCTTTTTTGCTAACTGTTTATTATGATGACTCGATAAAAATATATAAAATGTGAATCTACGCCCATCTTTTACTAAAATGTTTTCCTTTAAATGCATTTATCGATGGAAACTTTCGATTTACAAAAGAAATTCAATGAAATTGATAAAACATGTAATTAATTTTTTAGATTCTTTTAATAACCACTTTAAAGTTTATCTCTAAATTGAAATTAATTTTTTATTTTTGGCAGCAAACACTCATTATTAGCCTCATTTTTAAATTGCAGCACAAGACATAAAACAGAATTTTTCTAAAGAAAGCTTTTTCAATATAAAGTCGATTATCGTTTTGGAACGTTGTCAAAGAAATTTTACGACTATAAATAATTCACAACTAAACTATTATTAGTTAAGTTGCAAGACGGTAAAGCGAAGCATCTTAAGCACTCGAAAGATCTTAAAAAGACTTTTGGCTTCATAACGTTATTGAGTGAAGATAAAAAGAAGATGAGAACGATAATATCCATAAAATTGTTGTGGTCAAGCGTAGACAGTTTTCTTTGTTTGATTTTATTCTTAACAAATATTTTACGAACAGACAAAGCAAGTCACAAGAATATGATAATGAAGCTATTGTGCGAGTATAATTGTTAGAAAAACATATAAAAAAGATTCGATCCATCAAAAATACGTCCAAAGTCAACACTTGAGTTTGAAGATGAAAAGTTGAAATGAATTAATGACGAAAGAATTAAATAAACCAACCTGAAAGTACTTCAAAAGAATCTGGAATCATTAATGATTATATTTTCCAAATGTTAGCTCATAAAATAAATACCTGCCACTTGTAACCATGATCTGAAGAATCTAAAGATAAAAAAATAAATAATTAACAAGCTCATAAAACAACATGCTGCCAGTCAAACAGATTTTAAGCTCATCATAAACTTTCTTTTTGTTATGTTAGACCGCCTTTTGTCATGTTGTCGGTATCATCAAGAAAAGAAGAAAAATGACGATTGATAGCGAATGGATTTTATTAAAAAAGTCGGCCCCAACAATAAATATCGTGCAAAAGCCCGATATTTAAAACTCCGGCAGTTATAGAATTTCTAGACGAACAGTATTAGTAAAAATCTAACTCCAATAAGGGGCCACTTTGTATAATGTTTCCACCTTCGATATTCCAGAAACTTTTCACACAAAGTGGCCCCTTATTGGAGTTAGATTTTTACTAATACTGTTCGTCTAGAAATTCTATAACTGCCGGAGTTTTAAATATCGGGCTTTTGCACGATATTTATTGTTGGGGCCGACTTTCGGTAACAGACTTTTTTCCCTTAAAAAAAACACGCTCTGACGCTTTGAAATGAGACACTCGTCTGAATTCTATACGAAGTTTTTTTTTCTTCGCGATGTCATCATCATCATCATCAGATCAAGGACAGGCACCTATAGGCCAATCCTGGCCATATAGGAACCACCATCAAAAGCCATAAGCGTTTTGAGGGCAATGGTCATAAGTGGCACGTGAAAATGACAACATTACGCAATTTCATCTTCGCGATGTTTTTTTTTTTTCGCTGTGAATGTTTTTTTTTTTTCGCTAGGAATGTTTTTTTTTTTTCGCTAGGAATGTTTTTTTTTTTTCGCTAGCAATGTTTTTTTTTTTTCGCTAGCAATGTTTTTTTTTTTTCGCTAGGGAAAGGGCAACTTTGTATGGCAGGTACCCGAAATATTAAAGGTACACACCCCATAACTTGATAGAAAAATTCTATTTGTATTTAAAACACTTACGTAAAGAAATTTTCCAAATCGGTTAAGAAATGTAGAAATGCGAGTGTTTACATCCATCCATCCATCCCCACAGACCCGAAAGCGGACAGAAATTTTTTTTTCGTTTTTTTCCACTTTTCTCGACGTTTCAACCCATTTTAAGTGTAATTAAGCAAAGAAAATTTTTTGAAATTTTTGGGCAAATCCAATACGGTTGCCCGTCACCCTAGGGTGGGGCCTCCGTAAAAATAAATGAATTAAATTTGGCTATAAATCTGAAGTTATATTGAAAGATATTAAATTATAAATTCATCTTGACAAGATTTAATAGTTTTCTTTACTTAAATGTTTTTAAGAAATGTCATGAAATGTTACTTATGATGATGGAAAGAAATGTGATTGAAATCCGAATTGAAAAGATCTGAAATATTTTTTCAAGCTTCTGAATTCGTCAGTTTTTATTATTTTCTTTCTTATTTATATCAGCAAGGATATCAGTCATTAAATCAATTTGATTTTAAACATAGGTTAACCGACCTTAGACCAGAATAATTTCATGTCAAATTGCTTTTGAAGTTTCTCTTTCCGATGTCAACAAACTTGATGGAGAATGAATGATATTGCAGATTTAAATAAGAAAACTTCTACACAACGCCAACCCTTCTTGACCCTTGTATAATTTTTCTACTAAAAAAATAGTAAAAAAAGGGAAAAATAAAACAAAATATTATGAATAAGCATTTTGTAAAACCATAAATCATTCGATGGAAAACGACGGTTAATAATAATTTTCCTGTTCGCTAGCAACCACAAAATCCATTAAAAACTAAAACCTGTCAACGTTTTCATGAGCACGCGTTGCCACGAATGACTGAATTAGAGTGAAACAGCCTTGGGTGAGCACAGAGAAATATAATATTTAATTTATTTTAAGAATTTCAAATTTAATTTCATTACGAGATGCTCTTCAGAGTGGAATTTATTTTTTTACTGTGACATTTCTGACTTCATTGTAGTCAATCTTGGAGATCCTTTCATAACAATGGATGAGGCGTTTATAAAGCTTGAAGTTAAAAAGAAAATATTGGCATAGCTTGGCCAATGAAGCCCAAATATTTATTCTCCTTACTCACAAATTGTCTCAAAAATGCCTAAAACGTTGTGGTTACGCTTTTAGAATAAACCACTTTACTTAATAAATTCTTCATCTTTATTTCCAAGCAACAACTTTGTGAACTTCACATTTTTGTCTCCAAGTTTATAAAGTATAAAAATATGTTCTTTTCTTCAAGAGTTTTATTTGTATCATGTAAAATTCACATCCATAAGTACACAGCTTCCAGCAGAATGTAACGTGAGACATTCAAATATCCATTAAGTAATAAAATTCATCATTTTGATTCATATCGCCATTCAAGTTTAAAGTTTCAAAATTATGAGAAAACAACGAATAAAACCTTAATAAAGTTTTCTATCGGTGGATAACTAAGTGGTGCTGAATCAATCGATAATATATTAATTTCATACAATTTGTTTCTCATTCCAGTTAAATATTTAAACAGAAATGTTGAAAAGTTTGCTTTTGTGGTATAAAATGAAATTTTCAGTTAACCAATATTATTATCTACTCTGGTTAAACACATAGTTCAATTAAGCAAACATAAATCAAGCACTCTTCTATTTACAAACAATTAACAGGTCTTTATGAAGTTTGTTTCATCAATTAATTTGAATCAGTTTGCATAAAATTAAACATTTATTCATGTTTTAATACGAACAATTTTCTCATTCAATCAGTAATAATAAAATTTTTCCTGTAAAATAAAACAAGCACAAACCTCTTGAAAATTATAGTGAAACGTGACATGTACTGTAGTTGGATTAATTTCTAAGCTTCTGAGGATTAAATGACCGCTTCACATGAAGAGAACACTCTAAAATCTGGTATAATGATTTGACAGCTCTCTGCTGTTGCTGTAACGAGTTCGTAATCCTCTTAAATTCCACACGTGCTGAACAGACTTCACAACCAGCTATCATATTTTACAATAATGATTTAAAGTATCATTTGTGTTTCAAAACACAGAAAAAAAATCCAAGAGTAACATTTGTCAAGTGAGAATGAACGACTCGATGTTATTTTAGAAATTTATGTGAATTGAGATATGTGAGAAAACTTAGAAAAAAGCATATCAAGTCACACGATATTGCCATCATGTTGTTAAATCATTATTTAACATTTTTATAAGTGTTGCGACAGTGTCCTTAAGAAAGAAGCGATTTAAGATTAAAAACCTTTTCAATATGTTGATTCAAATATTTAGTTACATGTGAAATGATTTTTCTTAACTCCCATTTTATGATCGATATCAAAATTTTACTTTCAGCTTTTTACAAGCATACCAATTAGGTCAAAACAGCTTTTTTTCTGTTAACTTCAATTAGAAGTTTCAAAGTCAAAAAGTTACCAGCAAGTTTCTAATTGCTAGAAAATAAAACTTCTCAACTTTCAAGCTAACTTTTACTTTCACGTGAAATGAAATAAATATTGCAGATACATTGTTGAAGAAACAGTCTGTCTTCATCTGCTTTTTGTAAACCCAATATTAAAGTAAAACTATTGAACTGTGAAGGAAATTGTGAATGAAATTTATCGAGTGTAACGCCGTAAATTTTCGGTTTATTGAGTTCTAATGTGGAGAAATTAGGGATCGTTATGTAAATTGACCAAAAGTTCGATAAAAAAGTTATTATTTTTCTATACACCTGCTCAAGTAAAGTAACAATTTCCTTAATTTATTGACTTTCAAAAAACTCCAGATGACTGCTTATTAAATATACAACAACATTCTATTTCATATTATGAATGAAATATCTGAAAAAGAAAATTCATTTATAATCCCAACGAATCACATAAAGGTTTAATTCATGAAAAATTTGCTGGAATCGATTTCAAAGATTGTGCATTTATTAAATGTTTGTAAAGATTTTCCAATAAGCAAACATTAGAAGCCTAGAGCTTAAGAAACCTCAAGATATCCTTTCATATATCGTGTCGTATTACAAATAGATTACATTCGATGCACGTGACAGAAAAAACCTCTTGATAAATATATCAAAACATAAAAGTTAGAAGAAAGATCACCACAAATGTTTCATCCCTAGACTATTTGTAACAAAAACGATTTCAAATTTAGTAGAACACCCACGTTTCTACGGCAAAACACTCAAGAAAGACATTATGAATGAATTATTGATGTCACTTGAAGTTCTTTAGTATTAGAAAAGGGCAAAAACTTGGAAATAGATGTCAGAGAGGGTGAAACCTGTAAATATTTGAGCAATGATTTTGGTTCCTTCTTACTATAAATTTGTACATGGTGCTGTCGAGTATCTACAAGTTTTACACGTGAAAAGAACATGTGAATATAATTTTTAAGGCAGACATACAAAATTTAATGATTTTCAAAAATTTGACGACCCATTTAAGCTTTGTCTTTGTAGCGTAATACTGAATAATTAGGTACATAGAAATACTATGAAATTTCTTTTTTTACTACAATGAATAATTTAAGTCTTCGTTAATCAAGCATTCTTGAATTAATTACAATTCAACGAATGGAGAATTTCTAACAAAACTGTCTACAACTCAGCTTAATTATCTGGTAATCGATAATTGGAAGATTTAAGAAAATAACATTATTTAAATTGTAAAATGTTAAACTAAATTTATTAAAATTGAGTCAAATTTGAGACAAGTTTTGTACACATTTAATGTTAATTCATACAATCAGCTGAAATGAATTCTTTTTACTTTCTTAACAAAAACCTATCTTCAAACTACAAATGAGTTCTTTATTGAAATGTATAAAATGTAATCTTACAAAATATGACATACTAAAATGATTTAATGTCAGATCATAATTTGGGAAATGTTAAGACATAAAAATATACTTTCTTAAATAAGATTAGTACGTTTTGAATAACTCTACGTTATCATTTACAAAAATTAATTTCCAAGGATAAAATTGAATATCACGAAATACTTTTCAAAAATGTATCAAAGTCAATGTTTAAAATATTTCGAAATTAGGTATATCAGACTTCAGCAATTGAAGGGTTTAAGAAGAATTGTGAATTGTATGTTGTTATAAAAATGAATATTGGGCGACAGTAAAACTACTTCTTGGTGCTTGAACTTGGTTCGCCTTGTTTTTTAGTCTTAGTCTTTGATAAAGATTTTTTTGTAGGCTGAGCCTTTGGCAAACATTTTTTTTTAGGCTGAGACTTTGGTAAGGATTTCTTCAACCATGGCATATTTTTAAAAGTTGAAAGATCTCCGGTTATGACAACTGTATATTTACGCTTTTTATACACGTCCATGTTAGACGATTTAAAAATTCTATAATTATTAATTATGTACAATTTTAATATGATTTACAAATATTATGAAACTTATTCGCATGCATTACTTATGTATAGATTTATGACGTATTGTTTGGGCTTGCACTCAATATTCTACATTTATTTACCTGTATTTTTCAGAAGAAACAATTGACATAATTTCAATCAATTCACACGACCGAAGGCGTGCTTTGACCCATTTTTCTCTTGTTCGTCTTTTCATGGCTGTTATTAAAGAATTTAAAGTCCTATTTTATAAAAGGAGATTTTTTGATCAGTAAATATGTTTGTTCAACATTAGCAAGTTATGCTTTTACCAAAGAATTGAATGTTGTCCGTTATTCTTCCTACGATGTCAAATCCCTTCAGATTTCAAAAACCCCTTGAAAACTACGCCAGTCAACATTGTTATGCAAAATAAAAGAAAACATTCTAACATTAATTTTTTTTAACAATGGTTATTTAACGACTAATGATATTTACTGAATTTTTGATTTAAAATTTTACATAAAAAACAATTCTAGATATTTAGTTCACAATACAGTTGCAAATTTTAGTCAAGTTAAGAACGAATGTTTGTTTTTTTTTTCAATTTTTGAAAGCCGGCAAAAAGTAAATTATAATTAAATAAAACTATTCACTTCAAACAGCATGGAATAAGTTTTCACAATGTAGGGATAGTAATACAGAAGGAATTTAAAATTGTGAAGTTTTTAAATAAACCTCGTTGATCTTTTACTTAAAAAATTGTAATTCACTTTTTGTTTACTTTTCATAAATTTTAAATAAAAATGTTTTCGATTTATTCAGATTCGTACGATTTAAAGCTTGAACTTCCATAGTATCATAGATACACATAGATTAAACTATATGTTTCAAATACTTTCACAGATTTTATTTGTTTATTTTCTTAGAAAATATTAAAAAACACTGACTCACATTTATTTTATCTTATAATTTTCAGATCTACACTCTCGCCTCGAATATATTTCGCACAGCGAAATATGCTCAGAGTAAGCATAAATATGCTTCTCTTTATTTATCTGAGCATAAACATAATCGCAACCGTCAAGAAACGAACTATTTCTCGTAATTCGATAAACTTCTAAACGAAAATAAATTTCACTGGTAAAAATTACCATTCAAATATAAAACATAAATTCATGTCTGACATATTAAAACATTGTGAAATTAAAAATCACTTACGTTAGTCAAGAAGATGCAAAATTGTATCAATATTTATGTTGGATTAGATAAATAATTAAAACTTTCTCGTAGGGAATACCAATGAGAATAAATATTTTTCTCGATACACGTAGAGAGCATTAATTTAACATTTCAAACATTTTATGTACGTTCTTAATTAAAAATTTGAAATTTTTCCTTTATTGCAAATATTTATGTGAGTTTGGTAATTTAATAATATGATTCATTACGATATTGAATTTGAAGCAAAAGCCCTTGGGTCTTGAGTGATAAGGTAACCAGAAAAACATTCTCTCAAATTTCCTCAAATGTAGGCCGTGCACGAGAACGTTATAATTTTCCACCGTCGTGTAACAAACCATAATCTAACATGTGTTCAAATTCACATACAAAGGAATCGAAAAAAGCATCATAAATTTGTAGATTATGCTTACAATAAATAATACAAATATGCCATTTATGCTGTCATCTGTTATACGATTGTCTTGGTATAATCTTTGACAGAGAATTTCAAATAAACGAGTTTTCTCTTCACTCTTTTATTTGATTTCAATGAATACACAGAAGTTAGTCAATAATGCATGTTGCATCAAGACTGAACCATTCATAATATTTAAATATAAATCGATTTCTACCATATAAAATTTCCCTCAAGCTTATAATGACTTTCATTACTTTATAATGGTTGTGACATTTTCGAAGGGTTGATAAAAGAGAAGAAATGGCTCGCATGTTTTTGTGCATGTCATGATACAATTTACCCTTGATCGACTAAGGCCCGATAAATGTAAATCAGGAGAAATTTGATAGCATCATTGAGTTGATGAGTCATCAAGTCTATTTACAAAATGAGCCGTCATGAAAACGAAGTAAAGAAAGTGAAGTTGTTAGCAACACCCTTATGGAAAAGACGAAAAACGGGAACTTTTATTATATCGGTAGGAGTTTGAATGATTTTTCTTTCAAAGAAAAGTTTCACCCCTTTTGTGTTAATTACGATTGCTTGTAATTACTTTTTTTTCTAACGACACTTTCAAACTGCTTTCTTTCTTCTGCTCAAGAAAACAAATTGTCTCAATAATCAAAGCAATTATCACCTCTCTGACTTTTCTTATTATTGACTTGATGTGAGTGTTTAAAGGTAAGCATCCTAATTTTTCACAAAATAAAAATGAAGTCACAAAAGAAGCTTCTCAAAGGAAAATGATTAGCTATGATGAAATTTTTTAATGATATTTTTGCTTCAGAAAACCATGCAATAACGAATAATGATAAAAAAAATTTAACGTTCTCTTTCAAGTCTTATTTACATTCGCCCACACATTTTTCCTTTCTTAATGCTTTCCTTGATGTTTTATTTCTGCAACAAATGACTAACAAGCGAATGTTTTCCTTTTCTTTTTCTTCTTCATGCGATGGAAATTGATATCTGATTAAAATTCTGTCTTATTATTATTATAAGGAAATAAAATATTTTCTAATTTAAAAATATCTTTAGATGATTCAATTTGTATTAATGATTAAGCCAGAATTTCCTCTTTCTTTGGTTTTGTCATTCAATTTTATAAAATGTTAGGAAATGGAAGTTAAATAAAATTGATGGATTTCACAGAAGGTTTCTCTTAAACTTTCAAAATTGAAGCCTTGATTTCCTATTTATAGCTCGAGGGATATTGTTTTTAGATTTTTTCCTTCATCTTCATGAAATGAAAATATTTTGAATAGCTTTTCATAGTCTTCAATGAGATTATCAGCTTAAATGATTGGATTAAAGTCCATTTTGAAAAGCTCTTTAAAAGCCACTTGCAAAAAAATTCAGATAAATGAGAAACACAAGACGTTCCTTAAGAGAAGGAAAAACTTTCCTCGTTAGCCGACAGATTAACCCAAAACATTTTTATTCAATTATGTTTAGAATAAGAAGTTTCCAACTACAATAAGACAGAAGAAACAGCATGAGTTTTGTACTGCATGTGTTACATTCTCCATAGCCATAAGAGACACAAAGTCAGCTTGAGTTAATGAAGTGTAAACAAAATTTTGTTTTAATTAAGAAGAGTTCAAGCTCACTGAAGCAAGTATTGTATAATAATAAAGGAAATTTGATTTTCGTTGTTTATTTAAAAAAAACGATGCACGGTTGGTTAACAATTAAATTTGCTAAACTCTCAACAATCAAATGAAATACTTCCTAATAAAATTGAACAAAAAATATCAAATTTATTCAGTAAGCTGAATGTGAAGTAAAGAAATGTGAAATAAAACCAGTGGTTTTCTCAAAATTGATAAATTTGCGTTTCAAATTGAATAACATTAAGTCGAAGGAAGCCACACCAGAATAATTTAATTTGTTTTATAAATGAAATTTAAAAGAATTTCATAAGCCCTGCCTTTTTTTCTGTTTTAACAAGACAAATAATCTAAAATATCGAGTTAAATGTAATTTTTCATTTGAAAGTCTTTCATTCATTAAAATTCATTCTGTAAATACTTTATTTGTTATTTATGTATAAGAAAAAGGGGAAAACAGTTTTTCATTACCATGTTATGCATGAATTTCAATGATGTTTAATTTTCTGCAGGAGAAATTTTTGAGTTTTTCATTAATTTTGAAACATTCTCAGAAATATTTGTTGAAATCACATTTCTGATGAATTTAATTTAATAATTCACGAAGTTAAAAATTGAAATATTTCAATTCAGATTTCTGTTAATTTTATTTCATCCATAGAAAAGGATTTTTCATCCGAAAAACAAACAGAAAATCTTATGAATTATGAAAAATTGCACGATTGAAACTGAAGCATAGAGAAAAGGGAAAGAATAAAACAATGTTTAAACTTTGTTAAAAACGCAAACACATGGTAAGCCAGCAAGGATATTAAATATTTAAATAGCCTTAATTTTGGAACATGAGGGTCTCTGCAATGGGGGTGAAATATTTAAGTATCGTGTAAAGGAAAGGATGCATGCTGAATGCTGATCATTAAGAATTCTGTTTACAGTTTTCATTAAGATCAATTAAGATTAATTAGTTTTACTTTGTAGCATTTCTTTCTTCTTTGTTTTTCTGTAAACTCCCACTTAAACAATTCTTGAAGTAAAGTGAAACTAAAGTGCTGCTTTATCGCACTTCAAAAAGCAAATTCAGTTTTCCCTACAATGAATAATTATTCTTGTCATTGAAGGAAATGAGGAAACAAAAAACAAAATTGCAAAAACAAACGGAGGGTGGAGAATGGAATCATCAAAGCAAGAGCGGAGATTAAGACAATGATAAGCGACATAATGAAGAACAATTAGTCTTCTTGTTGCTCGCGGGCTCATCTCATGATGCTGCATTCGCTCGTTTTGTTTTCTTTTTCAGATTTGAGTCATAAACTTAGGCAGCGAATGACATCGGATGATATCTTTGTCGCGTGTTCGTAATTATATCTTCAAGTTATTTTATTAGAAAGTTCTGTGACTTTAAAATGGAGAAAATATTAGTGTTGCAAATTAGAACCATTAATATTCATTCAACGGAAGTGATAAGTTAACATTGTTAAAATTATTTCTGAAACTCTTCGAGTTGCTTTCAGGTTTTCTAACTTCTAATAAACTTTCGACAAAAATCTCATTTTATCGACAATTTGTAATGAAATCTCACGAAAACATTTGTATCTCATTTTAGATTAAGACTAATCCTCTATTTATGTTTCCCAACCATTTTCCTGACAACAGCACGAGCAATTCAACTATCAAACATCTCAAATCTCTTGTACAGAGCAATTGCCTTAAATTTAGGCATTTCATGCTGTAATTTCAGAATTTAATTTGATGAAATTTTTGAAACCTTATCAAGATTAAATACCACAGCTGAGGGGAAAATAGGAAATGAAAGTTTTTCATTATTTCCCTGAGATTTTTTTTATCTTTTTTCGTATCATTTAACTACCTAAGTTGAGCGTCCACAACCAACCGTCGTTAGAAAGATTTTTTTGATTATTTTCCGCAATAAATTATCGCAAAGACCTAATCTTTTGCAACATTATGTTAATGAAACCCTGCAGTGCAGAGTAACATGTGGCGTTATGTATGATAATCGGAAAATTATGTGACGAGGGACAGAAGAATCGAGGTTGAAAGAAAAAAAAAGTGAAAGTCCTTAAATTATAATTAAATTCTTTTCATGTTTTGAAAATGTTCTTAGAGATGATAACATTTTTCACCCTCATTTGGTTTACTTTTACCGAAGTTTATTATTTAAAAAGAGGTTTACGCATTCAGGTCCTGTGTGTCATAATTAATTTGAGATTGTGAGATTAAATCACTACAGGATAGAGCTTCAGTTAAGCTACTAACTCTTGTTTTTTTTTTTGCTGAAAGACAATACAAACAATGGTGAAGTAGATTGGGAACAATGAAAAAGGTTTTCCAGGCTTATTTGCTGTAAATGTTTTCGACTTCAAAACTACTCAGTTTCATTTTAACGATTTTTGCTGACTAATTTTAGACTATGCGTGTTGGAAAAAGAAAAGCTTCATCAGCAAATTATGACAAAATATGTATCGTAAACCTTCAGTCATTTTCACAATACAATGAACTGTAAGTATTGTGGAATCCAATGATGCATACTCTTGTTTCCGGTAATGCTAATTTAAAAAGTAAATTTAAAAGCAACCATCAGTAGAAATAGCGCTAACCAGCTGCCTAAAATTTCCTTTGATTTCCGATTTAAACTAAATAAATTCATAATTTAATATTCACTTCCGACTGTGAAGAATTTGAGTGCAAATTGCGTGACTAGAAGCTTTTCTTCAAGCAAACAATATTCGCAAGTTGTGTGGAAAACATAAAAGCTTTATTGCTGGTTTGCGCAAAAATAATTGCCAGTTGTAAAGAAATCAATAAAGGAACATTGAAAGAGGCTCGTAAATCTTTAAGGATTTTCTTAAGAACTGTCTGCATACTTTCAATTCACATAAAGATTTGTTATTTGTCTGAGCCTCCAAAAATCACGAAGAAAAATGAAACGTGTTTGAAAATGAATCAAAGAACAATTTTTGATCTAACTTGAAAAAAAAAATTATTCTCTCTCATTTTTCGCTCTCAAAATAAAAATTCTCTCAATGTTCTCTTTCCTTCGTCTAAGCTTCAACCACTTCATCAAGAACATTGCATCGAAAGCATGTTTGACGATGAAGCAAAATATCAAATTCAGTCTTCATCTAACTTTGATTCTGGTCGGTTTGATTTTCATTGCGATGCAACATAAAATGTGAAAAGGTTATTTATAATAAAAGCAAACAACATAAAAAATCTCAATTTTAATTGCTTGAGGAATTGAAAGGAAACTTTTAAAAATTAACAATTTTGTGGGGGTCACATAAGAATGTGATCATGGCGCAATAATTAAAATTATTTAAAAAAGTGCTTATTTAGTACCGAAGTTTACAAAGTTTTGGCATTAATCATCTGATTAATTAAATACCTTTGCGTGATATAAAAAATCAATACAAAAGTGAAAAGAAAGTTTTGCAAGACGTAAACGAAATTATATTTATGCCATTGAGCTAAAAATTTTTGTTAGCGGGATAGCATTTATTAAATTTTTGAACATTGTGATTTACTAAAAAAGGAATTTTCCGTGAAATTTCGGAATAGTTTGAGAATAATTTTATTTGTGAAGCAAACAAAAGAAGGTTGGAAATCATTCGTAATTTCGAGAAGAAACATCTTACAATAGGATCACCTAGGATTACCAAGGATATTCGTAAAGGAAACGGAACATGTTGCAAACAATGTGGAATATTAAATGGATATTAGTTTTTGTAAATACCTTACTGCTTATATGCTTAGAAGGTAAGCAGCATTGTTACATTTGATGCGAGGATTTGAGATCTCAAAAAAGTCTAAAAAACCATAAATGAGAATAAAGGAAGAACATGTTGACAGATTATTTGCATTTGTAAATATTGGGCAATCTTTCCTTATACCTTTTCTTCCTTCTCGCTATTGTTATATGAATCATGAAACCTTTTAGCATATTATTGAAAACCTATTTTAAATTAAGCAAAGCTTCATAATCTTCATTCCCACTCGTTTCCATTCAAGCATCATTCATTTGTTATTTACTTAGGTTTCAATTTTGAAGAATTTTTATGAAGTGAATTTATGCTCCACTTGAAACGTAACGTGAAGATAATTTAAGTGATTCAAAAGGAAATTCATTTCATTTAGCCTAAAGAAATATTTACATAAGTTTCAAATATATTTTTTTTCTTTCTATTTATCTCGTCGTTGAGTTAATTGAAAAAATCATGCAAGAGAGAAAAAAGAAAAAGAACTCGACTTTCTTTTAAATTGTCATGCGAAATATCAAAGAATATCTCAGAGTCATGATCAGGATAGTTTAAATTGTTAATTAAGATCAATTAAATTCATTCAATTTTATATTTGGGGATGGTGGATGACCGACAAGAGCAAACCGCTATTTTTTCTAAGAATTATCACATCTCAAAATTAATTGCTAAGTCATTAATTGACTCCACGATTATTAAAACAGTTAAAATCATCAGTTGTCATTCATATTTCTATTAATGATAACTTGTGACAAATTCAACATTAATTTAAATGCTCACATGCTGCATTAGTCTTGGAAAACATAAACAAAAGAAATTTTACTTAACAAATTTAATTGAGTGAATGGTCGTTTTTATTTATTTATTAAACTGGAAACTCTCTGCTTCAGAGCATATCGGAAGTTGTGTAATAACACATAATTAAACTTTTCTGTGCACTCACCGTCCCTTATGATACATTTCAACGCTTTTGTATCCCTAAAAGTTGATGAAATTCAATTGAAAAATTCCAAAGTTATTGCAGCTCAGTAAGTCGGGACAAAAACGATAAAATGAAATTAGTTCCGCTTTAGATATATTAAAATAACAGAAGAAGAAAGTTATAATTACGTCAATAACTATTAGGGCGATTTCAATCTTCAACTAATTCGAATTTTAAAATATTAAATTTCCTTAAAAAGGTTTTTTGTCCCGTGTTTCTAACTTTCTTTTAGTCTTGTTGGATCATTATTAATTAATTACAGATTTTATGAGTCTAAGCTATAATTTTGTAGAACAAGGTTTCGTGATGTGATGAATGAGGCAGCTGAGCAGTCGAACTTTTCCCGTTTTATTTTATTTAAATTTCTCTGATCTCGTTTAACATTTCTTTAAATGTTTGAAACTAATATCCATAATAATTATTGAAAGATTAGTTTTGACTTCTAATAAAGATTAAGATTGATACATGGGAGAATATGACGGTGGAACCTTTCCAGATGTAAATGATAGTGGCGCTGAAGAAGACGATGCCGTCACTAATCTTACTTGGAATTTCATGTGAAAGAATTTTCAATCATCATAACAGTTTAAAAGGAAGTTTATCTTGTTGGCGTCGTGTACTTAACTCGAAACATGTTTTTTTGCCTTTTCTTTTTCCTTTTCGTTGTAAAATCGATAGCGCAATGAACGCAAATCTCTTTACGCGTCAATAATGATACCAAACCATAAAATTTTCTTTTGTTGATAAGAAGATTTTCCCATCCACAAATTCTCCGATTAAGTGTCGAGGTTCACCCTTGGCATCGCTTTATGATTTTCCATTCCTTATTTCTACTTATCTATTCTCAGCCACTATCAACGAGGAAAAATCTATTTCCCTTCTTTTCATTCCATCGCAGATCATGGATTGGATGTACAAGGAAAAATGGTGAAGAAGATTGCGAAGATTTTTCACTTGCATAAGCATTTCGCTTCATATCCTTTATCGTCTGCTTGGCTGCTGCGTTTATTTGCGGAAAAATAATTTATGTGTACTTTAGGCCTTTCACAAAGTCCCGATGGGTTGAAGAATAAGAAAATTGATAACAGTGAAGCAAAAGTAGACGAAGGGAGAGAAAATGTGAAGTCGTTGGGGTTTTTATTGGCAAACATTTCTTATCATGCAATGGATTTGAGTGTAGGCTGTTAACATTAAGTCAAGGAGATAATATGTTTGAAGATTATTCGAGTAAAAGACGGCTCAAAAGTGTTCATCTTCTTCCGAATGAACGTTCACGAGATGTCTACATAAACACAATCAATCGATTGCATCTTTTGTTGACTTTTCGGCTTGTTTATTGCCCTTAATTCTTGTTTGAATTATCTTTGAATTTGTGGTTGCACAATCTGCCATAAACCTGTGTGACATTCATTCATTCTGTTGTCACATTACGCCACCCACATCTTTTATGAGACGAAAGACGAAAGCAAAAGTCGTTGCACCTTTCCATAAATACATATCTCGGAAAGTCATAAAGCATATCAGCCTCAAAACCCTCCGAAAAGGAAATTATGTAAATTATGCCATTAAATGGCGGCATGTGGCTCAATGTGTGAAGATAATAAATTCTGAATCGTAAAAAATCTTCTTGCCAACTTCGGAAATCTAATTAAACTTTTATTCGAACTGCCAGCGAACTTCTTGACTTAATCTTAATCTGATAAAATGACAACATGAAGCTTTCGCGTTGGATTAAAATCTTCTTTGCGTTTCCGCTTTCTGACATTTCACAAAGTTTTTTATTTTTCAAAGTGCAGTAAATGCAACTGAAGTCGATGACTCAGATTTCCTGATTTATTGTAGCGAAGGGTTCTTATTTACTCATTTGGTATGAAGAAGCCTGTAATGCTTCTCTTCCCTTCCCGAAATTCTCATAAAAAAATCCATAATGATTAGATTAGAATCAACCTTGTCGACGTTGTGTGGCGGTTTCTTTGTAATTATTCGATTACATTCTATGAGGGTTCTGCAATGCATCAAACAAAAGAGTTTTTTTCGGGGTTGTTGGGAATTTACCTTTGTTGCGGACCTTTCGCTCTTCATGTTCAATCGTAATACTTCATTCGTTATTTATTCAGCTTGACTAATTTTTCTTTATTTCTTGCTTTTACATGCGATTTGTTTTGATAAACGTAGAAATCGTTTCATTTTATATTCCCAAAAGAATAAAGAGTTGAATTAACTGAAAGCAATTTCGATTTTAAATTGTTCTGAATGCGAAATGAAAGAATGTTTCTGAATATTTCAATATATTATAATATTCAATTATTCAAATGCACTCAAGAATGTCGAAACATGAAAAGAATGTTGAAGATTTCTTCAAGACATCATAAACCTAAGATCATAAATTTTTCAATCGATTGGTTTGATTCTGTTCCATTGATCCTTGTTTAGTTGTTAACATATAAAAAAAATATTTCGGAAGAGTTCGTCATGCCCTCAGCAATGTGATGTTGCGTCGTGAAGCGGGAATTCTTTTACCTGCTGTCAATCGGTTCACTTTGTTGTTATGATACCCAGCCTATAAACATAACAAAGTCGGCATTATTCAATCTTTCTTTTTTTCGTCTCCCTTTTCACTTCCATTTCTTCTGACTCATATCATATCTCATAGGTGTATAATCCATGTAATTGGTAACATGCGGAGCCGATCCAACGTTTATTGATTATTTTTCATTAATATCTTCAATCATAAAGCCAGATCAGAATATTGCTTGCTATGAAAAGTGAGAGAATGAAAGAATAACAAAAAAAAAAAGAAAAAAAATAAAAACTTTTTTCTTAAATTAATTTTTCATTCAACGTCAATGTTGGCTTTCTCATAAAATTCGTTTCGGCTCTTCAAGTTTTCAGTTTTCTCTTTTCTTTTGTTTATTTTTAATTTTCGATATTTAGAAGTGAATATTTAATGTTGGCATGAGAACTGAGCTGAGGTCATTTAATGCCCTAAAGGTGTTTGTTTAGGAACGCTTGAGATGGTAGAATTTTTGGTCAATCTTTCTTCTCATGGTGATTAATAACGCAATTATCGTATGAGTGTGAATCGTGTTTTAACAAACTAATTCTTTACGATGTTCATTTAAGGACTTTGTTATAATAACTTTTGAAAGCTTTCGTCCCTTATCCACATTTCTAGTGAACACAATGGCGATTTTCACATTGTTTTTGACAGCTTTCTCTCTACAGTACATTCACCACGGTAGGAAACATATTATAATGGTGGAAAAATGTCGAAAGCTTTCTCGTTATGGACATCTCAATGCTGTCCCTTTCGTAAACAATGCTGAACCTTTTTTCTCTACTTCTTTTCATGCGAAAAAAATTGTGTGTACTGATGCTGAAACGCGACAGGGGACACATTTAGATTAGGCTCCTATCAGCAAGCAACAAACGTTTATCTTACATGTTCATGTTTGTTCATATCCATCCCGTTATGCTTTACCAACGACAATCATTATTCTAATAATTCTCATTTTTCATCTCACGTTTTTTTCTATGTTTACTCTGCAGTAATAGAAGCCATACCAACATATCAAGATAATCATCTGGAAGATGATAGATTTTCTCCGGGATTCCTCACGATAGGACAGAAGTACAGCTACGCAATTGGATCGACAGTAATTTTGCCATGTAAAATTAACGAAACCGGTACGTGTTTTGTCCCTTTCAACAGAAGCTTTTTCTTATCTTTTTTCGTAAGCTTAATGATTAATTGTTCATCTCTGTAGACAAAAACATTCAATATGTGTTGGCATGGAAACGTGGAAATGCAGTTTTGACAGCTGGAAACGTAAAAGTGACAATGAATCCCCGCATACGTTTGATACCAGTTCATGAATTGCCTGAAATCAATGGAGCGACAACAAAAACTCCAACTGGTTATAATCTGGAATTAAGAGATGTCAGGGTCACAGATGCTGGCGACTATGCTTGTCAAATTGGAACTTTGGAGCCACAAGAAATCATTCACAAATTAGAAGTCTTAGTGCCACCAAAAATTGATTTCATATCTCCAGGTGGTGGTCGCTTGGATGTCGCAAAAGGGTCGGCAATTCGTTTGGAATGTCGGGGTTCAGGCAACCCAACTCCCAAGATTTACTGGTCAAGAAAGGTAAAAATATTTTCAAGCTGTTTATGTTATGAAATTTTTGACATTTTTTTTTTGTGACATTCTCAGAATAATTTGATGCCAAATAGTGAAGCAAACGTCACTGGAAATATTTTTGAAATTGTTCATGCCGACCGTCACTCTGCAGGCCATTATCGATGTTCAGCTGACAACCGTGTAGGTGCTGCAGATACCAGGGAAATATTCGTCAATGTTTTATGTAGGAAAAAAGAGAAAAATGTTGCTTGTCAGTGACATTGAAAGTTTATTTATATCATTACAGTCTCACCTGAAATCGAAGTTGAACGAGCTTTTATTCACACTGGTGTTGGCTATGAAGCCCAATTAACATGTCTTGTTCATTCTGAACCACCGGCAAACATCGTTTGGTATAAAGATACAACCCAATTAGGAACCACAGAGCAGCATTCGTTACAGGTAAATATTTGATGAATTTCCTTTTTCCAACATGCAATGCTCAAAAACATTCGTGAAAATATCACAAAATTAATGCTCTTTCAAAAACATCACAGGAATCACATAACGAAAAATGTTTTAAATTGTTTTTTAAATTCTTTATTTCATTTGATATTTTCCATTTTGTATGGGAGTATATTGAATTCAATTTTGTTAAAATATCAAACTCTTATAAATGGAAAAGTAGTAAAATGTTAAATGTAGGCGTAGAATCTTCAATTCGTCCTAAACAAAAAACATTTCCTGAAAATTCTCAAATGTTGAATACAATTGAATTTGAAAAGCTCATGTTGAGTATTTCATATTAAGATTCTTGTCATGTCATTCATAAGAGAGACAAAGAAAAGAGGAAAAAATATTAAATTTTTTATCTCAAAACTGACATTTGTTTTGGAAACGAGCTTGAATTTTTATTACGTTTCACTCACTTAATAAATATTTATGCTAAGTGATTTTCAAGAATATCAAATCAAATCTTATGCCTGATTCTATTTCTTAGAACCGGGGCAACCGTCATTCACTCATAATACGTAACGTTACGTACATGGATTTGGGTAACTATACATGTCAGGCATCCAACAATTTGGGAAAGGATCGTGGATCTTTGACATTGAGTGGCATTCCGACTGTTTGTTATTTCGATTCAGTAAGTAGGCTTATAAAATACGGTTTCATTTGACGTGAAAACGAGCATATAAATATTTACAGAAAGCTATCAGTGATTACCGAGATCGATATAATATCACATGGAATGTTCAAAGCCATTCTCCTATAAGGGAATATCGATTATTCTATCGCAAACAAACTTCAAAGTCGTACATGTTGACTCATCAGATTCAGCAGCACCTCGATAAATCTTTTGAGAATACTGTTGTTGGTAACCAGCATCATTACTCGCCTCCGTATTCGACCGGATTATCAGATCAATGGGAGAATGTTGTGATACCGGAAAACTTTCCCGAGTATTATCCGGCACAACCATCGACCTTCAATCTCAACGAATATCACTACAATAGCCACATAAACACTCATCACCACATGAGTTACTTAATTAAAAATCTTTCGCCAGCCACTAATTATGAAGCACGCGTGCAGGCCCGAAACGACCATGGCTGGAACAAATTGTCAAATGTTTTTCATTTTTCCACACGATCCGAGGGTGAGTTTTGAGTTAATAATGAAATGAAATTCAATTTCCTGTTTGCTTTTTCCCTTTTTCAAAATAAATTTCATTTTCATTTAATTAGACATTGAACTTGAACCATCACACACTCCGACCGTTCTACGCAGTGCTGGCCTGTTAGACAAAGGTTGGCTAAGCAGTTCAGCATCAGCCAACATGGGAAAAGTAATCAATATTTATTCTGCAATGCTGCTGTGTATTTTGCTCGCTTCGATGCTAAAACATTAATTCATTAATTAATTAATTTATAAATGCGAAAGAGAAATGATTAAATGTTTTTTGTAATAATTCACGTGCAAGTTGGAAGAAAACAAAAGAAAAAGCTGGNTCCCTTCTTTTCATTCCATCGCAGATCATGGATTGGATGTACAAGGAAAAATGGTGAAGAAGATTGCGAAGATTTTTCACTTGCATAAGCATTTCGCTTCATATCCTTTATCGTCTGCTTGGCTGCTGCGTTTATTTGCGGAAAAATAATTTATGTGTACTTTAGGCCTTTCACAAAGTCCCGATGGGTTGAAGAATAAGAAAATTGATAACAGTGAAGCAAAAGTAGACGAAGGGAGAGAAAATGTGAAGTCGTTGGGGTTTTTATTGGCAAACATTTCTTATCATGCAATGGATTTGAGTGTAGGCTGTTAACATTAAGTCAAGGAGAAAATATGTTTGAAGATTATTCGAGTAAAAGACGGCTCAAAAGTGTTCATCTTCTTCCGAATGAACGTTCACGAGATGTCTACATAAACACAATCAATCGATTGCATCTTTTGTTGACTTTTCGGCTTGTTTATTGCCCTTAATTCTTGTTTGAATTATCTTTGAATTTGTGGTTGCACAATCTGCCATAAACCTGTGTGACATTCATTCATTCTGTTGTCACATTACGCCTCCCACAAATCTCATCTTTTATGAGACGAGAGACGAAAGCAAAGTCGTTGCACCTTTCCATAAATACATATCTCGGAAAGTCATAAAGCATATCAGCCTCAAAACCCTCCGAAAAGGAAATTATGTAAATTATGCCATTAAATGGCGGCATGTGGCTCAATGTGTGAAGATAATAAATTCTGAATCGTAAAAAATCTTCTTGCCAACTTCGGAAATCTAATTAAACTTTTATTTGAACTGCCAGCGAACTTCTTGACTTTAATCTTAATCTGATAAAATGACAACATGAAGCTTTCGCGTTGGATTAAAATCTTCTTTGCATTTCCGCTTTCTGACATTTCACAAAGTTTTTTAGATTTCAAAGTGCAGTAAATGCTACTGAAGTCGATGACTCAGATTTCCTGATTTATTCTAGCGAAGGGTTCTTATTTACTCATTTGGTATGAAGAAGCCTGTAATGCTTCTCTTCCCTTCCCGAAATTCTCATAAAAAAATCTGTAATGATTAGAATCAACCTTGTCGGCATTGTGTTACGCTTTCTTTGTAATTATTTGATTAAACTCGATGAGGGTTCTGCAATGCATCAAACAAAAAATTTTTCTGGAATTTACCTTTGGTTCTGACCTTTCACTTTCTGTTCTTTGTTGAAAAATATTTCATTATTCTTTGTTTGTTCAGCTCGACAACTTCAGTTGAATTAAACAAAAAGCATGCAACAGCAAATGTGGCATTTCACTCATTAAATAGTAAACAAAAATCATTCAAATAGACTATCGTTGAATAGCACAAATTACTCAAATTGATAAAACTTGTTGGCGTGATAACTCATTTGGAATACATTGTTCGATAATCGCCTTTTGATGGTCGTTCGATAAGCTCCGACTCACGAAGAGGTTCTCCATCAAAATCAATTATTAATATCATTGAGTAGCAACAAATGGAAGGAATGAAATTACAAACTGTTTCAAAAAAAAAAAAAAACAGAACAAACAGTTTTATTAAATTTCATTTTAGGTATCATCTTCTGCTCGCATCCTGTTGTTATGACATAAGAATAACATCGGAAGAGAGCATCGTAGCAAGCATCCCATAATTCCTTGTTTTGAATCAAACAAAAATCTTACCTGCTGTCAATCGAAACGTTGCTTAGTTATGAAGGCAAGTCTCTAAACATAACAAAGGCGGCAACATTCAATATTCCTTCTCTCCTTCTCTCTCACTATCTCTAACTCGCTTCACTCATGTGATATGCAAGAGGTGAGTAATCCAAATAATTGGTAACATGTGGAGTTGCTTTATAGTCGGTTTATTGATTATTTTTCATTAATATCGTCAATCATACAATAAATCCAGGTAAGAATATTATTCTGAAGCATGCGAGTGAGCAAAAGAAAGAAAAACATCAAAGACTAAAGATTTTAAATTAATATTTTTTCATTACATTATTATGATCGATTGGGTTTGAAAAAAATCAAAGTAAGAGATTGGAAAATGATTGAATTAGCATGATTGAACTTTGTTGTTTATTATTCAACAAGAGATTTGTATTTCCATATCTATTTATCTGTTGAGTTTTTATTTTCACAACAACAATATATGAATGCTCAAAGTTTGCGTTTCGAAAAGGGAAAATTTTATTTTTTCGGTTTCAACTTTTTTAATCCCAATCGCTTTGTTGTTGATGCTCTCATAAAATTTCATAAAATTCGTTTCGGCTCTTCAGTGAAACACTTTTGTGTATCTTCTTCTTCCTTTTTATTTCTTCCCTTTTTGTTTACTTTTAATTTTCGATACTTAACAGTATGTTGATTATGAAGTTCTAGAAAAAAAAAACTAGTCGAGGTCAGGGTTTTCATTTACCTTCAAGATGTTGATTTAGGACGTTGCACGTCTGAGATGCTGAATGATGTTTCATTTTCTGCTTATTATTAACGCAATTATCATGCGACTGTGAAGTTCACTAAAGCGAAATAATTCTTTATGATGTTCAGCTTCATCATAAAACTCGACAGGAATGTTCACATTCAACTTTTAATCCCACGTTCGTAATTGTTACGAGTAAACAAAAACATTTTTCTTCGTTGTTCATGACAGCTTGTTTTCTGTGTTAAACATAAACTGCAAATGACGAAAGAAGAAAAAGTAATATTCAATTGGGGGGAAAAAGTCGACGAAAGCTTTCGTTTTGGACATGTCCAAATTTTCCTTTTCTTTCGTAAAAACTCAAGGGTGGAAAACACTTTTCATGCAGAAATTTTCCTTTTCCATGTTGAGACAAGAACACGCAGCAGGGGAGACATTAAGATTAGGTTGGTATCAGCTAGCAACAAACGTTTATCATGCTGCTCATATCCATACCGTTGGTCATTACCATAAACAACTCTCATTTTTCATAAAGTTCTTCTGGTTCTGGAAAAGAGAAGCCGCACTGACATATCGAGATAATCATCTGGAATATGATAGATTTTCTCCGGGATAATGTGACATAAAAACATTTCGGGAATCGACTTGAGTATACATAGTTGTATGCTAATCTTTTAAAGTAGAAAATTTATGTTTAATTTCTCATAACGACGTCCTTTGTGTAAATATTTTTTTATTTTTCTTTGGGCTATTTTATGAGCCTAATGATTAATTATTCTCTCAAACAAATACCTCAACTACGTGTTGGCGTGAAAAAACAACGGAAACAGTGCTGATGGCGACTGAAGTGAAGACGACAGATACAATGACATGGGTTGTCTAATTAGATTACGGAGTTCTACGATTCAATTACCGAATAATGGCCAAAATCTTCAAGTAGGCGTTTCGAAGCTGCAAAATTATCCTTCAGGAAAACTTATCAGAATCAGCAGCATCTCGATAAATCTCTTGGGAATACTGTTGTTGGTAACCAGCATCATTACTCGCCTCCGTATTCGACCGGATTATCAGATCAATGGGAGAATGTTGTGATACCGGAAAACTTTCCCGAGTATTATCCGGCACAACCATCGACCTTCAATCTCAACGAATATCACTACAATAGCCACATAAACACTCATCACCACATGAGTTACTTAATTAAAAATCTTTCGCCAGCCACTAATTATGAAGCACGCGTGCAGGCCCGAAACGACCATGGCTGGAACAAATTGTCAAATGTTTTTCATTTTTCCACACGATCCGAGGGTGAGTTTTGAGTTAATAATGAAATGAAATTCAATTTCCTGTTTGCTCTTTTCCCTTTTTCAAAATAAATTTCATTTTCATTTAATTAGACATTGAACTTGAACCATCACACACTCCGACCGTTCTACGCAGTGCTGGCCTGTTAGACAAAGGTTGGCTAAGCAGTTCAGCATCCGCCAACATGGGAAAAGTAATCAATATTTATTCTGCAATGCTGCTGTGTATTTTGCTCGCTTCGATGCTAAAACATTAATTCATTAATTAATTAATTTATAAATGCGAAAGAGAAATGATTAAATGTTTTTTGTAATAATTCACGTGCAAGTTGGAAGAAAACAAAAGAAAAAGCTGGATAAGAAGTTGGAAAGAGATTTTGGCCTGAATTAAGCATTTACAAAATAAGTACATAGCACGATTAATTATGTGAAAAATTATTTATAGAAAAATCAACAAGATTAATAATTAAAAAATGAGCTGAAAATGATGAGACGAAAGAATGTGCGAATGAACGAGCGAGAAGCTCAGAAGCATTTATGATGAACTTTACTTATTGTGTACATAGATACATGAACTTTATGATGAGCGTAAGACATTTGACATTGACAGAAGATTTTTTCATCCTGTAAATAATTTCTTTATTTTTGTATGGGACCACGTGATTTTCTAATATGACGATGATGATAGAAGACGAATCGACTTATCGTTGATTTCTCTTCCTTTGTCACTTTTTTGTCGAATAATTTGCATTCCAACCGAAGAATTCTTCTTTAATTTTGTTTGTTTAAAGCCATAATTTGTAATTCTAAGTTCACATTTTCACAGCGATAAGAATCTTATTGAATAAATTCACTTATGAACTAAGAGAAAACCAACATTTTGTTACTCAATTGATTACTGTTTGATTTTCAGATAACAATCACGACTTAATCTATAAATCGGCATTGAACTTCGACTTTGTGTTTGACAACTTCGATCTTCCTGTTCAATGAATCAAATGAAATGAAATTCATCCTTTCCTGACTCCAATTCTGCTTTGGATATTTTTACGGTTTCTTATGTCATGTGAACATTTATCAACTGAACCTTGAGATCATCAATAAATGGTTTTCAACTCTCTTCAAGTTCACCAGTTAAGTAGCAGATGTCATCCGATCTCTCTCTTCTCAATTCGACTGTGCAACGGGGCAATTCTTCAATCTACTTGAAGTTTATTATGTTTAATGAATGAAAAAACTGTTCACAAAATAGTCAAAAACAATAATCAAACCCTTTATGATGACTGACGACAATGTTCATAACAGAATATTGAGTGAGAAACTTCTCTTCGTTCCCTTCTACAGCTGAACTCAACATGCCGCATATTCTGGTTAGCTGGTGCTTTGAATTTATTGCGTTCATTTAATTAGCATGAAAAAGGGATGTTAATAAATCAATTGTATAAATATGAAGGGAAGAAATATGAATTTATATATTTTAAACTCATAATAAGCATGCATAAACCTCTCATAAAGGCGTCTCCGGTTGTGATTTTTCTATTGAAATTGCTGATTGTTGTTGCTGTGAAATTTAATGCGACTGCAAAATAAAAGACGAGAAATAAGACGTCAAGCAGATCGAAAAGCATAGAAGAAAAAAATCTTGTTCTCTTGTAATTCTAGAACATTAATAAATTGAATGAGAATGACTAGAAGAAGTGACATGAATGTTCAGTACATTTGATGTTTATCTGACGACTTTCATCTCTTAAACTTCTGATGCATTGAAATAATTTTAAAAATTTGCAATGAATCATCGAGCTAATGAAAACTCATTGATTGATGACAAATTAAAATCCTATTACTCAATTTAATTGTTGTCAATTCTTGTTACATTCCACAACCTAGTGTGCGGCTGAATTCAAAAAGGTAAACAAAAATTTTCAAACGCATTTAACGTTGACATTGATCAAAAAAGTTAAATTGCAAACCATTAAGGTCATAGAGAAATGAAATTTGCAATAATTGACATTATGTTATCGAGTTTTGGTGTATTTATTCACAGCCAGATTTCTAAATATGATTATTAATATCAAATGTCAATATCTTCTGGCATTTCAATGTAATTAAATGTTTGATTGAATATTTTGGCATTTTCCCATAAGAAAAGAAAATTCTTCAAATTTCAAACTGTTGAACTGACTTCAAAACTCGACAACCATCACATCTACCTATAAATAAATCTCATCCCTGTCAGTAATCATATTTTGTCTACAATTTCGATAAAGATGATAGAAATGTTTGCTACTAAAACTAATTCAACTATCGATCAATAAAAGTTACCAACAATAATTTTATTACGGAGTCATGTTTGAACGATGGCATCAAACAAATGACAACTTCATTGCGAGTGTCTCTTCTTCAACGATCAATTTCTCGATATTCTGCCAATCTCATTTCTTATCTGCAAATATTAAATTATCAGAGATATCGCTTCCAGAAAAAATGATGAGAAAAGTTTATATCGTTACGGAAAAAATAAAACTGTCTCGAGTAGAACACCACCCGTTTGTGTCTCACCGATATAGCACATGAAAATTGATTTGAGATAAAAACGTTCGTTGATGCTGATTACGACTTTCGTGTTTATCGATAGAAAAACATTCTTTGGCAAGAATGACAAAAATAAAAACGAGTTTAAAATAATGTTCTGTGACATCGAGCAAACAGCTTAAACGTTCTGGAAATAATTTTCTCCGTAGAACAGAAGATGACACAATTCAGAAATAAAAACAAAAATTAATGTGAAGATGAAAATATCGTATTGAAAATATTTCCATCTCTAAATTATTCATAAACATTGAGCTATACCAAGAAGTAGTGATTTCAACCCTCGAACGCATTTTAAAATCTAACCAGATCTTGATGATTGTCATTATCGCTCATGAATATTTGATTAAATTGAAAATTTGCTTTTGAGGGAAGATCTTAATCTGACGATATTCTGCACAACAAGGGTGGAAGATGTGCTTCATTTGAAAATTACTTTTTTTCTCTCTCTCTTCATTCATCTTTTTCAAGGATAAGCGATTTTGGGTTGTGAGAGGATTAAGCTGCACATTTTCTTTTACGCTTCTTCTAAATCGTTTAATCGTTTAAATGTAATGTAAATCATGTGATATTCCAAATCTTTTTGCGTGAAAATCAATTAAAAGTTTTATCTATTTTCAATCATCTACACAACCAATTTTCTGTTAGATGTTTTGAACAATTTGTACAAGTTCATTAAACTTAAAATAACATTGAAAGTTAAATTTTCAAGAAACTTTATAAGTTTTAAACTTTTCTCAATTTATTATGTGTGCAAAACCATCTAGAACATCATTAAACTGCAGCATGAATATTTCCGTTTAGACATTAGAAGATGTTTGCATGTGAAGTGTGATGAAGGGAAAATGTTTAGATGGAAGAAACACATTAAATTAATTACATTACTTGTCATTTTTTTAAAACTTCTTCATGAAAAAATAATCACGATTGGATTGCTTTTTTCAATTATTCGACAGAACATTTTGAATGATTGGATATTGAGAAAGCTTTTCACTGAATTAAAGCTCGTCAGAATTGATATCAATCAGTTGGATATTCAAAAAGAAAAAGAAGAAAAAGCAATTCTCAAACTCTTTGCATGTTTTATAAAATACGAGCTTTGACATCTGGCATTTACCGCAATATGACTTTTTTTTAGTTCCGAATAATATTTGCAGATATAAGAAAGAAATGGAACGTCATCGCTTTTGTATCAAGTTGAATCGACACAATTCGGTGCTGTTCAATGACAATTTGGAAAAAAGAAAATGCAATCACAATAATGACTTCTTTTTGGAATGAAACCGAGTTCGTGTGAAACGTGATCAATATTTGAAATGCTCTTCAGGTGGAGAGACTCACAAATCCCAAAGAACTGGGTGATTTACTTTTGTTAACAACTTTTCCTTTAAAATGTTATTTAGTTGCAAATAATTTCCTGAAAAGTAAATATGATTTCTCTGTTGAAAAAGAAATAATAAAAATTTCCACAAGGATTTTCCGCTTCTCGAACCGTTTTAGCTTTTTCATGTTGAATTGGATTCAATGAATTGGCTATAAAGTAGACTTCAATATAAAGATGTTTACCAATGTTTTTAAAAAACTTTTATTTATATCTACAGAGCAGGGCTTCAACTTTGATCGTTCAATACGAATGAAGTTATTTTAATGTTTCGTGTTGTCAGAAAATTCGTTAAGAGGTAAGTCAAGTTATCTAAGTCAAGTGGGTCTGAATCAAGTCAAGTCGATCCAAATCAATTCCACTCAAAGCCCTGTCTTGGTTCTTTTTTTTCAAACATTTTCGTTCTATACAGATTTTTACAATTTTTCTTATACAACCTGCTGATAGAAACATCATCATCTTTATTCGATATTGTTTGTGAATTTTCTGCATACTCAATTTTTTTTCGCAGAATCAACTTCCGTTTTTGAAAGAGGTGAAATCTGCCTATGAATATTTTCAGCCTTCTCGATTTTAAATCAATTTTGACTTTCGACGAAGCGAGTGGAACAGAAGGAAAGAAAATGAGAGAAATGTTAATTCAAGCAAATGTAAAAAGCTTTTACGCTTGAGGAGCTTCAATTAGGAAAAATCTAAATTTTTCCGCTTTCACATCTTCCTCCGCTCAGATTTCATCCCAAGATAGATGGTAGAAAGAAGCAAAGCAAGAAGGGCAAGTACAACATGCAATCACGATGAAGGTTTACTCTTTTAATTGAACTCAAACCGAGCTGAATTCATGTCTTACTCAAACAGAAAAGAAGAAAGGAAAAAGCAAATTCTTTGGGTTGACTGACAGGCATTTATTTCTCTTCGGTTTGATTGAAAAGTTTTCCATTAAAAAGACATCGTTATCAGTTCTTCTTAGCTTCATTAGATTCATAATTTTATCTTTTTAAATTGCAACATCATTAATGAGAGAACGAACGTTCATTGGGACAATGATTCATGCGATTTGTTTTTATTTAATCAAACAACATAGACAAGCTTCTTCCCTTGAACATTTAATTCCGCTTCACTTAACACGATTCCCATAAATTATGTAGATTGATTTCAAAATCACATTACAAACACATCAACTGCACACGAAGAGAGAAGCTTGAAGATTTAAGACATTCTGCAATTTGCCCCTCGGCTCAAGGAAAATGTGGGAAATCAGATTTTGGAAATCAATTTGATTGGGAACGAGATTCTAATTTTATCTCAAAAAGAAAAGAATTTAACGATTCACTGGTCAATTTAAGTTGTAATTGAGACTTCAAAGAGAAGATTTTGGTGAATTAAATTAAAACAAACTTCAATTTAAGAATTGTTTGTGGAAATCGGTTGCTTACGTTCCTTGAAGTGTTGAACGACGCAGTCAATATTCGATTTGATTCTGCAATTTCTTTCTCGATTGCCAATACTTCGAAAGGCTTTCAGACGTCCAAAGAATTTTCCTTCTCGTCGACCTACATAACTTAAGTATTTGTTGAGTAAGAGAGAAGTGAAGAGTGTTTGGCTGCTGCTGATACAAGCACCTTCCATCATTGCGTCAAGCTGAATGTGAAAGAAAGAAAAATTGTTTGTACAAATGGCGAAGAAATTTTCCACGCTAACAGCTTGAATTTCCTTTTATTTCAATCCACTTCAATCACACAATTTCTCTTTCCCTTAAAGTTTCTTTTGACATTCAAAATATTCTAAGTGAATTAATTTATTCAGTTACGGAATGTTCGAATGATGGAAGTTAAGTTTAAATATTCAATTCGAAACACATTCAAATGTTTACTCCCTCAACTCAATAAAATATCAGTTTACAAAAAGCGAAGTTGTCATGTAAAGTGCCAATTACGAGATGAAATAATTCGAATCTCAGGGTTTATTTGTGAAAGAAAAACATGAAATTGCTTTCTGTTCCGATTCCATTTTTTCGAGGGTTGTTGTGCGTTCTTCGAGAATCTCGATTTAGCAACTTGAATCATTTTCCGACATTAAATGCATTAAATATTTAAGATTTGTTACAATTTGAAGGCAAATTTAAAAGGACCAAACATCGAAATGGAAAAATTTAATTAAAAGAGCAAAAGCTTTCCACTTATTAATGAAATCTGTATCTGAAGTTTCTGCTTTCCTGAAATCTTCTCGAGTCGAGTAGAAACATAAATTTTTCTTCCGAATTCCTTGGAATGTTTCAAATCATCCATCACCAATATAATAAATATTTGTTCATGCTCGAAGAATGTGCCAAGGTTTCTCCTCTGCTTAATTGTTCACTAATTTGTTTTCTCCTTTTGTCTACTAATCATTAATTCTCTCGAAAGTGCTGACTACAATTGGAAATAAAAAGAATGTTTTAACATTGTAAATGTATAATAACTCGAAGTATGGCAGCTAACAAAAGACATGAAAGAGAAATCATTTCGTTCAGTTTCATTAATTTCCAATAGATATTTCTTTTATTCTTCCATTGCTCACCGTCGTAATAGTTTGCAAAGGCATCGCATCATTTATCATTTGCATTGGTCGTCCCTTCCATTTCACTTCTCTTCCTTATGATCCTGTTAAAGTGTGCTATTTATTTTGGACGATACAAATGCAGCCAGACTTTTATGGTGCAAAACTGGGTGAAGTTAGCAGACCCTAAAAATTTCAATGACATTAAACATTTGACGCAATTCTGATGCTACAAATGAACAGCATGAAAACGAATCAAGAGAAAAAGGGGGACAGAAAAAAACTGTGCAACCTGATCAAATAGAATCTTCAGCTGGTAACTCCGAAATTTCATCCCCAGACGATTTAAATTCAAATCATTTATCAAACCTTTCATAAGTTAAATGTTGTCATTGCTAATTGCTATTTCTTCATGGTCTGAAATTTGATTCACTAAACCTCAGTATTTTAATGTCCAAGCTTTAATTAACAAATGAACCTTTTTTAATTAATTTAGCTGAACTTTTTTAACATTTTTCACTCCGAATTTGTTTTTTTAGGATCAAAAATTCAGACTTTCATTGAAGTGTTGAAATAAAATAAAAAGATTTAGATTTGCTTTTTAATTACTTCACATTTTATTTTTGATTGATTTTTAATTGAAAGCTGCTTGTAATTATCGTTGTGGGAGATTAAAGGAAAAAGTTTCACAATTTTTCTTCATAAACGTTTCCAATAGCTCGAAGGAATGCAAATGCAGCCATCAATAAACTTGAACCGAGCAAGTCTCCCAAAGCTGTCAGATAAGGAATTGATGCTGTGTCAGGATCAATTTTAAATCTCCACATTGCATGAATAAGAATGTGTGCAATGAAAAGTAGCAACATCAACTGAATGCTACTGAAGCTCAAGTATGTAAGGATAAATGGAATTCCAATCGTTGATCTTGATTGATGAATGTAATCGGCGATGAAAATAAACAAAAACTGTCCAGGAATTGACATCAAGATCAAAATTCGAGCTGTTATCGCATAAGGTGTTCCATTGAACAAAGCTTTCCATGGCCCTTGGAAGATTTTTGTGAAAGGTGGAATGATTCCTGGTAAGGAACTTTGATGCAATAACGTCGCCATTTTGCTTGCATGAACAGACACAAGATTGCCACCAATTCCATTGATAATGGGCTGGAAGACGACATAACCAGAAAACTCTCCGACAGAACGTTCTAACACAAGTCCGCCCGTTCTAAAATTATGGGTTTAAATTGTTATGGTCGAATATTTATTAACTTTTGAAGAAATCTTTTCCCTACCCGCTGATAAACAATGCTGACAACACGGGAGTCCACCCAGTTTTCAATACCGATCTTGTATAACGATTACGTAGAACAATCATTATCCAAAACGGTAGAAGTAGACAAAAAGCTCCAATAACCATATAAGTCGTCCATGATTGTGTTCCTGTGGGAGAAATTCAAGTCGGTTATAAGAAACATGTCGACAGTTTTATAGCAAAATATTACCAGAAATCTTGAACAAATGCGACGAAATGAAACTTAAGACTGTAATCGATACGACATCACCAATTGAAGCTGCAAGAGGCGCTGTCATGTTATCAGGGTTTGCTTTGAACTTTTTTGTCAATAAAATGACAAAGACAAGAATGAAATCTGCGCAAAAATAAAAATATTTTTCTTTGATAAGTGAATCATAAAAATCGGAAATGATATCAAGTGGAAGCATTGAGTAATTCTCAAGACTTTTGATTATCTGTTTTGTTTTGACTGACTCGTTTATTGATAACGAAACATTCTCTTTATGTTGTGTACGGTCTGATAAATAAATTTAGATTGAATTAATGCAATATTTCAGAACTGTTTATATCAACAACTTCAAGTGGATTGATATCTAATTATTTCAGAGAACTAAATACGGAAATAACAATTCAACAAACCTAAAACGAAGCACGTTGATGTTGCCGTAAACATGCTTGAAGCAATCAAGAGCGTAATGTGATTAAATCTTAACGTGTTTTTGATGATAGCTCCGACTCCAATCGAGAAGAGCGATACGATAAAAGCAGCGACCGTCGCTTGCACTTGGACTAACGCAATGTTCCCCAAAGCCATGTGAAATATTTCCTTACCAGATATCATGTTACCCAAATTTGCCTGTGTGCATAATCGCGACGCCAATGTTGTATCCAAATTCCCTTTTAAGCCAGTTAAGGCTGGTACGAGAATAAATAATTCGCTTACTTCCTGGAAAACCTCCCAATGCTGTTTTTTAAAACAAAAATGAGATAAATTTTTTATTGAATAAACAAGTTAAAAGTGCCCAGCAAAATAAATAAAAAAGAGACTTTAATTAGTTTCACGTCACTCACCTCAACATTTCCTAAAATAATCCCAGCAGCTATTGTCCCGATGCCAGCAATAAAGAATGGAATGGAAACTTGAATTGTTGTTTGCCACCATTTCTCCTGTTTAACACCTGTCACTCGACTTCTATCCACATCTTCACTGTCTTCACTTTCTTTCAGACTAGACTCGAAAATTGAAGAAGCTATCGAGACAGAATTTCGAGATCCATCGAATGACGAAGGTGAAGTTTTTAACACATATGGAAAATCTGAAGATATTTTAAGATAGTAAACATTTACAGTTCAATGAACAGTAACTGGGAATATTCTATCTAAAGTCAATATTTAGTGCTATTTTAGGCAATCCAATGACGTCTACATACAATAATTTGAATATAAAATGATAATTTTATATTTCTAACTTTCACCACAATCAATATTGAGTTAAATTTGGAATAAATGTTAATTAAAAAAAGATGCTCACCCACATTCTCACTTATTACATACGGTTTCTGATCTAATTCAGGATCATTATAATTTTTACTCATTTTTCTTTTGATTTAAAATCTTTTCACACTTTAAATAGTGAAAGATTTTCACTTTGCTAGTCACTTAAATAATTTTTGATCGTGGAAAGTTTTCTATTTTTCAATATTTACTCAGTTATTGAGAGATCAATTCAAAGCAGTCAGAATTCAAAGAGTGTAAACTTGCAACTAAATCACACAATACTTTTACTAAACTAAATAAACTCGATATTTCACACAGGAAGAAGAAGACGAAGTGCGACACAATTGTAATCTTTCGTAAGAGTTTTTATTGCACGACACTTGATTATGATTGGTGATGTTATCAGATTCGTTCGAATCGGAAAGGTTCTTAATCGAAACAATTAAGTTGAATCGAGGTCATGGCTTGATGAAAGACCACAAGAGAGTCGTGATTTTCTTAATTATCAAACTTCTTGTTTCTCATAATATAAAATGTACAATCTCAAAGGCCCTTTTCAAACTCCTTCCTTTTAATTTTGTTTGTTTTGCCTCCAAAGATATCTTCAATCTTATCAAAGATATTTCTACTTTGATATGCAAAACTCTTTCAAGTATTCCGGAAAGTGTCAAAAAGTTGTCTTTCAAAATAATCTGTGAAGATATCTAGTGAGATTTATGAATAATTCATTAGACATTCTGATTATCAAACCTATCCAGAACTAACAAACACGTAATTAAGAATATTTAATAGCTGCAGAAAATCATCTCAGATCTTGAGGATTTAATTAAAAAGAGGTTTCCTTCAACCTTCAACATTCATAATGTAAAACTTTATATTCAACCTTAACTTATGAAATCGGAAATCAAAAAGCGCTTCACTTGAGAAACTTTTGTTGAACTATTGAAAGAAGTTTTCAATGAAGAATAAAACAATTTTAAAACTCAATTTAGTGCAAATGAATAAAAAACTAAGGAAACTTCATTTATCACAGGTGCTTACCAAGAACTCCAAGAAAAAATGCAAATTCATTAAATTTCTTTTTTTGTTTTCGGAATTTCTTTTTAACCTGGTTTTAACATGTGATGCAATGGCATGAATTATTCATGAGTAAAATTTATTTTTCTTTTTCATCACTGACGTTATTCATTGTGCTGATGATGGCAAATATGCTGATGAATGTAAAGATGAAAACTTTTTCCGCAGACTCATCATTTACAAGATCGCAATTGGAAAAGTTTGAATCACTTATGCAAGAAAGTACTTACAAGGATGATAAAGTGATGAAATTTCTATATGTCATGTTTTACAATGAGATTATTTAGTTTCTTACGGTCGATAATATCCACTAAAACATGTTATTATGATGATAAGAGACTCCAAAGTCATTTCGATTACGTTGAAGAGAAATTTTCCAGCACAACGTTTTCACTTTGATTAAACTACTCGATAAATTTAATTCCTTGAATCAGGGATAAAAAATGTTAAATGCTAAAAGGCAAACATCTTAAGAAGATGAATATAAAAATCTTAAAAAGCTTTGACAGATAATAAAATGCAATCATCTCTCTTAGCTTTGTAATTAATTTTATTTCGTTCTAAAATAAAAGTAATGACGGTTGAATTAAGAAATTTTTCAATTTGATCTTCTCGACTTTTAAGGTCTCGACTTTTTCCTTATCTCATTATCTGTAGCTAGGTGGAAATTAGAAAGATTCATTTTAGCATTCGTCAAGAATCTTGAGATTGTTTTACATTCCACGGAATTTTATAATTGATGATGTAGGCTCAAATGAATTTTATAATTGAATTCTCGATATATTTTATATTTGTTTCGATTCCATTAAATGCTTCCTGGGAAGTTTAAAATAATTTTTGTAAATGTTTTGTTGCTTGTAAACTTCAAACACCACTGACTGGTACTTATGAATTTTGTTTTCTTTATATTAGCGAAGCATATTAGCAAAGCATTCATAAATGTAATAATCTCTTTTAAGAGCTTTTAATTGTTAAAAAATAAACTTACTCTAATAATTAGCTATTCAAACATGCTCAATTGTAATCCGATTATGTAAAGTAGAGATGCGAATGATTTCCAATGACATGGAAATTTCCGATGAAAATGTTTTCAAGGTGCTTATGGGATTTGTTGTGTCAATATGTATAAATATGATATTTTTTGCAATAAAATATTTATTCCTTTATCGAGAAACTGTTTTGAACATTCCATCAATTGGAATGATATTTATTGATATGAAAAGAAAACGATTAGAGTTTCATAAACATTTACCTTTCTCTCTTGAAGGGAATTCATCTGTAATAGATATTCCGATCTTATTGACAGTTTTACAGAGGTTTTCATTCTTTTGTTTGAAAGTTTCATCTTTTAAGTATGCGGGCGTAGATTACATCGCCTACATTTTGCTGCTATGCATCGAGCATTAATGTTTCATTCTTCTATGTTTCATTCTATTAGTCATTAACATTCTTCGTTACAAAGAAGAAACCTAAAAATAAGAAGAAATAATATTTGTCTTGTCCTAAGCTGTCTATTGTCTGCCTATCGTCAAAGCGTCCCTTAACTAAAATTTATCAGCGAAAACATTTTTTACATTACAAAAAGAATGCCAAAAAGGTTTTCATCGTTTCATCTTTTTTCCCACTTTTTTTTGCTATGAAAAGACAAGGGAAAAGGTTTGTTTGAAGAATAAGCAAAATGAACGCTTTTTACTTAACTTTTATGTAAAAAATGTTTCTCCAATCTAGGTGATGTAAGTGTGTGCACAATAAAACAGAAAAAATAAACTGTCAGTAACAAAAAGAAATTGTTTTGATGTTTTCATAACAATACTGATGAGGGATAACCTGATACTTGAAAGATTGTTTTAGAAGCTTTGTTAGTAAAAACTTCCAGCATTAACGAAAATACGGGGAAACATATTTAACAATGTTTGCATGATAATTGCTTTGATAGCGATCTGAATCTGAAATTAAATAAAATACAAAATGAAAACGGTCTTAAATAAATATTCGGACTTGAATAACTTGACCTGCGCTTCCATTCTATGAGCTTTTCAATTTATATTCTGGAATTCAACAAACAATGGAAAATAATTAAAAAAGCAGACCTTGAAAACTCTCAACGATTTATTTTTCTTGCTTTTGTTTAGATTGAGATTAACTGCTCCTGCTCCAGGCTTTCTATATTTAAACAATTTGTTCATCAACAAACTTCTCCAGGTTGCAAGCTGCTTGAGTTTCTAAATATTTTTTTTTACCTAAATGAGCTTTTAAAATAATTTAAGTAGCTAATTAAATTTTTGTTAAGGATTTCTATTTTGATATCAAACAACATTCCCGATACACTTTGTAGGCAGAAGCTTTGTTATTGTTTGGGACTTATGAGAAAATAATTGCTTCCGATAATTAAAATCACTAACTCTACTCTTGATAAGGTGCTCGCTTCTGTTTAAGGGATAAAAGCAGAAATTATTCCTTGAAATTTAAGACGTTAAGTGACTGATATTTATTTAGCATGGCACTCATTTAAAATGCACCAAAAAGCGCATCTTAGTGAATGTATGGAAGTGAAGAAGGAAAAGAATGAAGTTGCTCATTCAGTGAAGAAATGACACATAATTTTCCATATTATCTTGTGAAAATAAGGGAAAACTTATTATATTTGTGAAGTTTCGTTTAACATGAAATGCAAGCGAGCTTACGTTCCATTGAGAAATCTACTATTTGACTTTATGCCACAGAGATTTTATCTCATTTCGTTATTCATGAATCATGATGAACTTAGTATAATGTTTTAATGTTTTATCATTCTTCCGTGAATGTGGAAGGAAACCAGGAACGGAATGACTTAAATGACATATTTATTTCTCTTTGGAATAATTCACAGTTCACCCAAATATCAACTTAAACTCATTCGCCCAATGTAGAATAAAAATAAATATTTTCCAATTTGAATAGTAAAATCCAAATTCAGCATGATGAAGGAAAATTCCATGTCATCAGTTTAATTCAAATAGTTCCCTCACACTACATAAATTCCAATTGCAAAAATCCAGAAGAATTTATTAGATTTCCTTCCTTACGAATTTCAAGCAATAAAAATATTCAATGCTTTAGACTTTTTTATCGCTGACTTGTATCATAAAAAAGACATGCAATAAAAATAGGTTTTGTATAAGACAACGTTGCGAAATTTTTATTATTCACATCCGTGTCGTTTACATGATTTCTGGAAAGCTTTCTCCATTAATGCTTCAAAAGTTTTATTAAGTAACTTCGATCTGAATGTAGAACAGAACGATGGAGGATTAGATAAGCTTTGAAGTCTTTTACTGTTCTTACTGTTCTTACTGCAATGCACGCTCATATTTCCATGAACACAAAACCAACCTAAATCAATTAGTAAATGTTGTTTATCAATCATCTTTTATTATCCTAAGTTCACAATATTTAATTAAATTTAATATTCAATTTGTTGAAGCGTCAGATCAGTTTCAGAAATTGAACCGTAAACATGGAAAATATTTTCACGACATCGCAACCTTTTTTAAAGCTCGCTGCAGTAATTGGAGTTTTTCCGATGACATTTCATGGACCCTCGAGGAAAGGCGAGCTCAAGACTAAATGGTGGAATGTCGTAATATCGATTACTGTGTTTACAACATTAGTCATTTTTATATTCCTTCAAACAATGACAAGTACAACTTCTAAATTGCCATCAAAAATCTCTTCAAACGCATGGTACACTTTATTTAATTTGGAATTTATAGGACATTTAATTCTTTACATTGGTCAATGTTATCGACGAAATCATGTATTGGAGTTTTTGAAGTTGCTTCAGTCATTTGATGATCGGGTGAGAAATTAATTAAACAAGATGATCAAATATTTTCAAGTTTATTTATAATTTTTTCCCTGCAGTATATTCAATTAAGCTGTGTTGAGTTTAATTATCGGCGTCAAAGAATGCTAGTGACTAGTACAACGTGGTTTATTGTGATTACAGCAATTTCTATGAGCGCTCTCGCTCCACTTTACTGGCTTTGTAAAAATAAGCCCGAACTCATCAACTATGGAATATCGGCAACATTTCTGTTATCAAATCTTTTGAAAATGTTTTATGTCTCGCAATTTTCGTTTGCTTGCACTGCAATCACTTTAAGATTCGAGTTTATGAAGAAATGCATCGAAACTCCAACTAAAAATGCTTTCATAAGCTGTGTGACTGCATTCAAATGTTGAACACTCATCTAACTTTTCAAATGATCATCTTACTAACACAATTCTTGGTATGAATAATAAGTTTTGATAATATTGAAAATGTTGATTATGTTTCGATATCTTTTCCTTCTCAGTTTTTCATCATTTTTCTATCCTTTGGTATTGTGCTTGAATTTTATATGGACAGAATTCTGCCTTCTGTGCTTTTCATTTACCACGCATCTGCATTAGCAATGTTCTTATTATGTGTAATGATAATCTGTAATGCTGGCCATAGAACAACAAAACAAGCCCAAGAAATATCAGAAACAGTTTCAAAGTTTATCACGGCGCAAAACTTGAACGGAACTCACAATCTTGATTTCATTTTCTTTATGGCAGCTTTGAACTCACGGAATGTTAATTTAGAAAATTTTCTTTTCAAAATCAATTGGAATGTTTTCTTGAGTGTAAGTCAAACCTTTTCCGAGTTCATAATCGCTAAAATTAATTAAACTTTCACTTTTCTGTTTCAGATTGTTTCTACTACTATCACTTACTTGATTATCACGTGTCAGTTTGAAAAAATGTAAAAGATTGAGATACTTAAGTAAAAAATTTTGTTTTCTCATTTAATATTATAAATTCCATAATGATTAAACTTTGTACTTGAAAATGATTTTTGAGAGAATTCTTCTGCATAAATCACAAATGTTATCATGAAATTAAATTGATGTGATGAAATTGAGAATTCTGTGGAATTTTTCAGTCTAATGTAGAGTTTATTCGTGAACACAATGAGAGTTGAGATTTTTGTTTTTATTGCTATCATTTCACTTTTTTCTGGTAAAATTTTCCTATAAAAGTTTACGAATTCGAATGTAGAATTTATTTATTTTATTTGGAGTAGTAAAAGCTCTTCGATGTTGGAGATGTTCGTCTGCAAATCCCTTCACTACATATTGCACTGATCTTTTCCTAACCCCTGAGGTTTGAGCTATTTGAATGTTCAATCAATGAAAGCAATTTTCTGATTTTTACTTTCTTACTTCAGGAGAGTTGGGCATTAGTTGAATGTCCTGATGCCCCGACTGAAGAACTCAGGAAAACTCACCGACCAGTATGCAGAAAGATTAAAAGACAAAGTTGAGCAAAAACATTTTCAGTATTTAAATATTTATGCAAATGTAACATTAAATGTCATTCAACAGTAAATAACAATGTGCTTGTGATCCGTTCGTGTATTTGGGAAAATGAAAACGCAATAAGTGAAAGTTGTGCGTCGCTTCCAAAAGAGACAACAAAATCATGCGACGTTTGTTTAACCAACGGATGCAATGGCGAGAGTATGAATTCCGTGCTTTTGTTCCATCACAAATAAACCATAAGCTTTTCAACTTACGTAGCCTTAATTAATAAAGTGAGATATTGTATGTACAAAACCTTTTACAATAAAAAAGGAGAAATAATTGTTTTTATGTAATGAATTTCATGAGATTAAAAATCTAATTATAGCTATAAAAAAATGTTGTGAACTTTATGACTTCAAACTGATAAGATTTAATAAGGTTAATGGCAGAGGAAGAAGCAAAATATTTCACTGATAAGAAAAAGAAAATTAATCGATGATTCTTGTCAATTGATTCAATTTGGCCTGTCTCCAATATAAAGCTGCTTCATTTAAAAGCCATAAATTTATTGCTAACCCTGTTGCTCTTAGAGAGTTAGACATGCCTTTGAATTCCTTCTCACATCAACAGCTCCATAAATCAACAGATTGGCGGAATAATAAAAACGCAAACCATTCTGTATGAAACCACATAAAGCTTCAATGAATTAATTTCTGACTTTACTAGCTCTCGTAAAAGTTTGCCATCATGGAAAGTTGTGGTTTATATGATTCATTTGGGAGTGATAAATTTTCTTTTCGAAAGATGAAAAAAGCTGAACTTTTGTTTCCTTTCTTTCAACTCTTTTGGGAAGTTGAATTAAAAGAATGAATAGAATCTTGCTTAATATTGTGCTCTAAATGATATCAATATGCATACATCTTTCGTGAACGAGATGTTATATATCTTGTATTTCATTTTGTGTATTTTTTTGTGTATTTTAAAGGATGTGTAATGAGCAATCGTAAGTGTGTATGCGCCTTAATATTTTCACTCAAAATCCTTTCAAAAAAGTTAAGCCGTTTTCACACCGTCCTATTTTCATCCCAATGAAAAACATAAAAAGAAATGTTTGATAAAAATGTTGCTACAAAAGATTTTTCCTGCTTAAAGGACTAAAATTCCAGGATGAATAAGTTGCTTAAAGATTAAAAATTAATTTCTTAATTTTATGTTTAAGAACGAAACTCTTATCATTTATAAATAAAAAAGTAGTTTGCGAGCACTCAAAAGCTTATAATTTTAAAAGCTCAAGAAGGATCCTTGAAAGCAAAGAGTAGAAATAATTACTATTTAAGAAAAGAAGCTGTGTCAGGTTTAAATGGAACACTGATAAAAAAAAATCGAATTAAAAGAGTAATAAGAAGGGAAAATTAGGTATTATGATGGGAACTTGATGGCTTTAAGGTTGAAAAAGTTTGCAACTTCATCGACTCAATTTCATGATTTTTTTATTATTCCTTGCTGCTGATACTTTAAGTCTTCAAAATATGTCACAATAGCAGATGAAAAATCTGTAAATTTCCTTTCATCACGAAATAGAAAAAAAGCTACTGTCGAGAGAATTCTTGAATGACATGAAATTCTCCACACATTATTTCCTATTTCAAACTCGGTCAACAACAGAAAATTCTTGTTTGTGATTGTCGTCAACTTCTATCAACAACTATATCGTACATTTATTTTCACTTCAAATCAGAATTGCGGAAAAGTGAAGAGAAATCTCAATATAACAAATAAACTGTGAACTGCCAGACTCGGTAGGTAAAAGCTGAATTATTAACTTAATCAAAACGATATGATTTGAAGCTTCTACTATGCTTCATGTACATGAAAAATTCTAAATGTGCACACCGAGCATGGTGTGAATAATTTAAAATAATTTTCTCCCTTTCATCATCGCTTCCAGCTGGGAACAAATTCAGTTTTAACTCTTCGAACTAACTCAATAGGATAGAAGTTTTAATAAAGAATCTAATTAAAATCTACGCTTTAAACTTCTTTAATTTGCTGCTGGAAAATAATCGAGAGAAATATTTTCTTTTTTTTAATGACGACTCAAAACAATCTCATCAATTAGTTCATTAGTGCCCGGAGGATTTTCTTTAATCAAATAGTTTTGAAAAAAAGAAGGAATTGATAGATAAAAGAAGCGTGACAACAAATTTAATTAAAGAAACTCTTGAACTTAAAGCCTTGCTTAAAGTAATCCCGAAGGCACTGCTGAAGCACAAAGCAAACATTCTTATCATAGAATGATATTGAATCTGAAAATGAAATAAGACGTGGGAAGAAAAGTTATGAAAGTATTTGCAATCAACCTTTCTACATAAAAGATTTTTATCTTTTTCATTTAAACTTCTTGAAAGTCCGGAAAACTTCCCAAACTCAATCAAACAGATGAGCCAGAGATTTTTTTAATGTTATAAAGTTATAGGAATTTAAAGAGCTTTAACTTTATGAAGATATTCATGAGACAAGAAATCAAAAATTTGAAATTTATTTGTAACAACCCGCGGATTTCACCTTTTGGTGTTGGATAAAAAGTTTTCAACGAATGCAGGAAATCATGAAAAACGCTTTCATGCATAGGAAATTCCAGGAGAAAATTTATTTAAGTTGATTCTACATTTCATCTTTTCAGGCGATTCTGCTATAACTATTAGCATGAACCCATTTTAAACGTCAAGATCCGGAGCAGAAAGAGAAATGAATGAATAATTTATAAGATAAAAAGTGAATGCAATTACATTCAGACAGCAAAAAGGAAATCTCTTAGAAATTTAGATTGAAAGTTTCGGCAAGCAGCTAGCTTCGGAGTTGAAATGAAAAGAAAAAATAATAAGAAAAGCGTTTGAAAAATTAATGTGGAAATAATTTTTTTTCTTCTTTCATTTCAACTGTTTTACTCTCAGTCGAACTGAAACTCTGAATGTATCATGATAATGATCCCCTTTTTATTTGATGTTTATTGTGGTAATTTGAAGCAACATTTTTGGGGGAATTTTTTTACTCTCTCCCTCCCTCTCTGTCTTTCGTTGGTTTCAGGCAGCGAAAAGAAGAAAATGATTATAAATATTTCAGCGTGTAATAAAATTCAATAAAACATCAGTGGAAAATGCTCGAAGCAATTGCAACGAAAGGAAAGAAATGTTAACTTAAATAAACAGTCTGCGGGGGAAGGAATTGCCTTTGTTTATGATTTATTGGCTTCATGGACTTGTTATGGAATAAAATTTTATACGGAGAACTTTGTTGCATGCGAGTTGTAGCACATGTTACTGTTTAACCCCGTCATTTATTCACATTTCCTTTTATATCGGTGGACATGGAAGTAACTTTTTCTCCTTTTTTGTGTTCAATAAATGCAAATTTTATTGCTTCTATCTGATTACATTGTTTTCCATTTAAATTTTATTGTAGCATAAATATTTGATTTTCCTTCCTCTTTTTACATATTTTTAAATATGATTTTGTAAAAATATTCTTATTTACAAGTTATTTATACAACAAAAAAGGAATGTCACGCTAGACGACTTTAAGAATATAAAAATAATTAATTAATATTCCATGAGATTAAGTATATCGATTACTGAGATATTTTATTCAGAAGTTAGATATGTAATGTTGCATTATACCTTTTCAATTAAAGCTTCGATGTCTCTATAAAAGCTTTCATGAAAAAATTATTCAACCTTTTTTTTATTATACCTGACAGTTATGTTGACTCACTAACGTCTGGGAACTTTTGCAGTATCAGAAACAAACTTTTACGACAACCAAAAAAGCTATAAAAACTCCATTAAAATGAACTAATCAAGAGCACTTTTATGAAGCATCCTATAACTAACAAGTAGTAAAAGTCATTAAATATGAATAAATTTTTCCGCTCGTAAAATTTCTATCAAATGCATGAAAGAAAACGTTTCCCTTTCAAATCTTTAATGTCTCAATTGTGAAAAGTTGTCTTGTGAAAATTGTTTCGTCAAAAGCTCATTTTCCCTTCTAAGAGAAGCCCTTGAATGGTTAGGATGATAAAGTTTCAAACATGTCGTAAACACGAAGCGTGATAAAGAACATTCGCACTCACTTTGTCGCGGGTAATTTTCTTTAATAATAAATTTTTCATTATATGCTTGAATCACACTGACAACTGGTAGAAAAGGGGAAACAAGTTGTAGTCAAAGTTTTTAAATTAAAAGCGCTATGAATTGAAGTTTGTTAAGGAAGAAACTTTTACGCACCTTTTTTTATGGTAGAAACTTTTACGGTTGTGAAAAATGTTAACTCATACCTCACAGTAAACTCGAAACATGCCTTCAACAATCCCTTTGTGTAGAAATTTCAATTGAAATCTAAATGAAACCATTAATTATAAGTTATCCTTCATCCATTGTATATGTTTTCCTTTTTTTTCAATTGAACAATTGAAATTAATCTTCATCAGGGTATCTCGATTTTCTATAGAAATTAGCTTTGATTTAAGTACAAAGCTTGGAAAGTGCTACAATGTTTCTCATCAATATGAATCCATGAGTATGATTATAAAATAATATGTTGTAGATGAAACGTTGTGTTTGGAAATCCTTTGTTTGAAAATTATTATGGATTTCCCACAGGGGTCGGAAGCCGAAGCGGTAGCGGAAGCGGAAGCTTAAAGAAGCTCAACTTTTTGAGAAGCCGAAGCGGAAGCTTGGAAGCTTTTTCAGAATTTTGAGAAGCCGAAGCGGAAGCTTAGAAGCTTTTTGCGAAAAATCGTTAAGCTTCCGACCCCTGATTTCCCATCATAAATGAAACTGTTAAGGTTTAATATTACAAAAAGCCAAACAAAAAAGGATGTTTAGCTTCGCTTACATATTTGGCTTGTATATGGGGATTGCTGAAAATAAACTGAACTGAAAGGCAATCAATATTAAATTATAATGCTCGTAAGCTAAATTGTCATTGATTAAAAGAACGATTTCATTTAAAATGCATCGAATTTCCAAGTAGATTAGCAACAAGTTTCTTAAATTATTAATAAACTGTAGCAGACATTATAGTTTACTTTTCAATGCACTATTGTGTTACCTTACGTATCTAGAACTTTCACAAAAAAAAACATAAGTTGAATGAAAGCTAAGCTTCATTTTATGTTATGACAACAATTTTGTTTCTGCTTTTGAGATCAAACATTAATAAGCTTAAGGATGAAGTTTGTTTATAATACAGTTGAATTATTCAGCAAACATGGCATGTCTGTCTGACCTGAGGTTACATTCAGTGTGATTCTCCCCACTATTTTCATTCAATAGAAGGCCACAGAAATTATTATTTACATCAGGTTTTCAATAACAGAACATAATGGCTGCAAGAGAACCAGCAAAAAGAATTATCCAACAAGTACGTCCCATACTCTCTGTTGATAGGGAGGAAGCACGACAACGAGTGATTAACTTGTATAAAGCTTGGCATCGAACAGCTCCTTTTATTGGTAATAGGCATTCTTCATAAATTGGAATATTTTAATATCACAGATTACATCATAAGTTACTATCTAATTGTAAATAATATTTTCGTTTAGTTGAGAAGTTCGATATTCCGAAATCCGTGCCACAAGTTCGTCAAAAATTAAAAGAAGAGTTTATTAAGAATAAAGATGTGTCAGATGTTAGAGTTATTGACATGTTGGTAATAAAAGGACAAATGGAACTCAAGGAGATCACCAAGATATGGAAACAGAAAGGTCATATTATGAGATATTGGCAGGAGTCTATTGAATATAAACCTAATGACTTTCTTTCAAAATTCATGTCTGGTCATAATTAAATTGTAGAATGAAACTGAAACTACTCAGATACACATTAAAAACTGTGCGCATTAAAAGCGTTATTGAGAAATAAAAAAATTATTCAAAGAAAATTTAATTTATTCATCAAAACTAAGAGTAAAAACATTTTTGTAGAAAACTGTGCGATGATTGCTTAAACCAACTATGAACAACATGATAAATATAAAACCACTGATAACTTCGTTAATTTTTTTCACATTCTTCAAAGAAATTAAATTTTTATCACTTTATTCATAAATTACTACCAAGGACTTTCAGAATGCCCATATGAAACTGAAAATATAATTCACCATGCTATTCAATATTATTTCGATGTGAATTCAGTGCTTTGAAAAGGAAATTCCTGTAGAACGAAAGAGCATTTCCTGTGCATCTCTATGGTTGATCTCTTCAAGTTGCAAAGAATCACAAACTGATTTGATAGCATTTATATCTTTCGCGGTGAAATTATCTGCTAATAATGTGATTTTCCTCTGTGATTCATTGGGGGAGACTGGTGAGAAATGAGGCGCTAAATGAATGAGAAAATTTTAATTTTTTTTTTGATAGGCAGAAATAAATTTTCGATAAACTCACATATCTCAGAATTTTCAGACAATTTTAATTGTTCACGAATGTACCTAGCAGTTGATGGTTTCGTGTAAATGAAAATAATGAGAGGTCTACCGAAGCTTGTTACCAATTTTACAATTTCTGAATGTTGAATGTTTAAAACGGTAAGGTCCTTGTTTTCTGATGAAGGAGCCACAATTTGAATGCCTTTGCTTGTAAGAACAACCTGGAAAGGTTAAATTGTTAATAATTTCAAAATTTTGTTTTCATTTACTTACTTTTTCAGATTTTATCCTATAAGATCCAAAGCAAATAGCTCTACAAAAAATTGTGCTGCTTGTTTTCGTTTGATTTTCATCAAAACCTATAACACTTTTTCGCTTTAATATATCTGATATAAGATCTGAATTATTGAAAAAATTTGTATTAGAAATTTCGAATAATTTTCAAGGTTTTAATAGTTTTCGTGTTCAGATTCTGAATCGAAAATTTCCGATCCTTACTAGGGATATTCATCATCAAATCGTGTCAATTAATTATGCACCTAAACTTTAATATTTATCACTGTTTTTTAAATTGTTTAATTTTTTAAAAGCGTTATTTAGCGCCAGTTGTTTTGAATGATTATCGCCCTCTATGAGAAATATTCTGAACTACGCAAACGAAAAACGAAAAACCCGTACAATTGTTTTGGAGCTATACAACAGCATCTATTTAGCAGAATTTTAAAAATTTGTAGACTGTTAAAAAATACAGAATCTAGAAATTTCAAGCAACTATCGCTATAATGTTGATATAAAAACATCAGTATGAAATATCCGCTTTCTAATTGATTCCTGTGTAAAGATTATTACTTTGCTAATAATGATTTTAAAGTTAAAGCAGGATAATAAATAAAATCAAAATTAATTACCGAGAAAACCAACGAAATTTGAGACTTTTTTTGTGTATTAATTTATTTTGCTTTCTTGCACAATGCAGGTTTCGAATGAGATAACTGATTTTAACTCGAATTTTTTTAATCTTTCTTGTCGCATCTTACTTTTGTATGTATAATATATTTTAGCTTTTTATTTTTATGGTTCATTTGATTGCAGCCTTTTCTTTTCCTCCATCTCCCATTCTCCCTTCATATCTTGTCTCCATTGTACTCAAAAATGACTACTGAAATACGCGCGAGGAGTCTCTTGTTACCTGCCTGTTTACCTCTCATTGTGTTTATTTAATATGAGGTTTTAAAGAGGTTTTTCTTCTTTTCATTGTTAGAGAAGACACGAGAAAAATTAACGCTTGAGTAAATAATATTTTTACTTTTAATTCAAGATGAAAACTTTTAAGAAAGGAATCTTAGAAATGTTACTTTTAAAAGATACAAAATATATGCCAATAAAATAATTTTGAATGTCCTTAAACAAGAATAAAATGTCAAAACTGTTGCAAGATCCATAAATTTGCTTAACTTTTTTCGGTTATTCTATAAAAGCTTTATCCAAATATACTTAAAGTATTTTTAGCGGAAAATATCCTGAAACAATCAACAGTCAGTGGGAAATATGTGTCGCCGAGGCTCCTCAAAATATAATCTGAATTATTAAGAAAACAAATATTTGCGAATTAAGAATCAAATCTAGAATTAATTTATAACGGTGTAACTTGTAACGGTCTCTTACGTTTAAATTCTCGTGCTCAACCCCTTTAATCCGAATGAAAGATAAGGCAGACATTAAAACGTGAAAGTCAGAAAGAATTGTTAAAATCGAAAACCATTGAAGTAAACGGAACGTATTGCATTTGTTAAACGGAATAACAATTGGTAAAGATATTCTACTTTCCAAAAACATGACAGTCTGATAAATATATTTATAATTTAGCTAGAAACGTTCAGACAAGGAATTGGGAAAAGAGCACGAGGAAAACTTATATCCGAAGGTACTTGTTAAATTGCGCGAAGTTAAGATATTCGCATAAACTGATCATTTACGATTCTCCTTTAGTTGTGTTCATTTTCCCGCATTGATTAAAACGTATACCAGAAGCGTAAGAGTCCGACGCCGTGATCGTTGTAAGTTACATTGTATTTCCTTCGAAAGTCATGCTTACGAATTATTATGTTACAGGAAAATAAAATTCCATTCACTACGAAAATCTATCAGATTCTTTGAATTCAGCGAATCTTTATTTTGAGCGCGGCTAGGACTTGTCGTAACCGTGTCGGTTAGACGACAATATGCATGAACTGTTATCGAAAATTTCTTCCAAGAAAATGAAAGAACAAAAAGAGCAAAAGCGTTACATGAAAACTCAATATCCATAATTAATTTTATTTGTAGCGAATGTCGAACGGAAACGAAATGTATTTTCATGAAAATTAAACATCGAAAGTCCTTGCTAGAGGTTCTCCATTTACGACGATTGAATAAAGAAAAAGTTTCGAGTTTTTCATGCGTAAAAGAGGAAAAATCGCGCCGTTGTGTGTGGCATTAAATTTTCCGCCACACTAAATTTCTATTCGGCACCTCGAAGAAAAGTCAGCGGCATCCAAAGCTTCTCTTATCCAACAATGAGACACCCCACCGCTGCTTTCAATTTTCTTTCTTTCATGACTATCCTTCGGCTTAGAATTCTCGATTTGTTACACAACCCACACAAATGCTGAAATGCTGAAGAGCAAGAAACGGAAAGAAAGAAACCCGCCCGACATCATGATGAAAACACTTCTTTATTCGTTTATTTTTTATTCTTTTTACTTCTCTTTTCTTTCACCTTCAAGTCTCAACGCACAAGCATAATAAAAAGTTAAATCGCGTGAAAAGTGAATAAAAAACGAACACACATATCTCATCCTCCATAAGCCGACGAAAGATTGAATAGAAGAAATAGATGCGGAATCGCACAAACAATGAAAAGCGTAAAAAGAAATCTTTACTGAAATATTCTCCAATCTTTTTATATTCTCTCGTTTTGTATTCTGTTTGTCTTCTTATCCTTTTTCATTTGTACATATTTTTTTATTACACAATTGACGCGGCAAGCTTCACACGCATAGCATTGTAAGCATAATGGTTGATGAGATAGGAGATGAAATGTGACATTCGTTGACTGAAGTTTTCAGCAAATTTTTAAGATTTATGATTTAGAAATGAAGGTTGATCTGTAGAGGTAAAAGAAAGATGGCTTTGGAGAGAATGACCGAAGCTTAAGCTTAGTGAATGAAACGAAGAGATTTATTTCCATCACTGATGAATCATCATGATTTATTCATCCTCCAAAGTCTATGATGCTCGACTAAAAGAAACTAAAAGGAATGAAACTTGTTTCGTGACATAAAAAGTTTTGTTTTTAATATATTTTTCCCCACCCCAAACTCTTTACCTTACAAAAAAACTTCTATGTATGTATGTATGTATTCATATATTCATGTTCTTTCAACACTTTTTTGAGAAAAAAAAAAAACATGCCAGC